TCTTAATAGTTGATAACATGAGAACATGACTGTTATTTACATCAATTATTTAGGTAAATGAGAAAAATAACATTTGCATAATAATTTTGAACAGGGTGTATATTAACACAAACAACGTATACCGGACCTTACAATGGCCGGACTTAACGTAAAAGAGAATGGTCAATGAACAAGCCATGGTTGGGGATACTGAATGAGACAAAACTAATAACTAGCCAAGGGTCAGGATACCAGAAGAAGGGAAAGTCAAAAACAATAGCCAAAGTCAATAACCAGAAACATATACCAAGAACGCGCTCTCTGACAACCACAATTGGAAACCATGAAAGGGCACTGAGAAAAGGCATTGCAGGGTTTAAATATGCCTCTCAGTGCTGTTATTGGTTAGTGCATGGCCTTTCACCCCAAAACGTGCGTGTGTGTCGATAACGTGACGTCACACGCACGCCGGCACCATCCTTAATGCGGGCAGTGCGCCCTTTAACAGTAAGAATGGGACCGCAGCGGTCGGCGTCCCTTAGAACGCCGCCGCAGCAGCTGGGACCGGTCTTCTTAGAGGATCGTGCGGCACTCCGCCGCGATCCAGGTAAGTTAATTTTTTCCTTTTGGCGCGGCCGCACTAATCAGGGACTTACTTTTATGTGAAATATCGGCACAGCAGCATTGATCGAGTGACCGTGTCGATACAGACCCTCTGTGCCGTGACAATACTACTACTACTACTTTTTATACGAACAGAGTTCATGCATTTCGATGTAGTTCAGGAGTGCTGCATTCATTAGATTTGGATAGAAGGAAAGATCTAAGATGTCCCTGCTTTTAGAGAAGCAATATTTGTCTGTTTTAGTGTTTTCTTTGTTACAAACATTCTTTTATGATCCTGGCTTATGTAAGATGAGTACAGGAGGGCACTGATAAAATCTCAGTTACCAAACTAGACTTCCCACTTTGCCAATGTCGGATTTTAGAAGTGCTTTCAAATAATGGAGGAACAGCTGGTGTCATAAAGCATCACTGCCAAATTGAGTCAAACTAAACATCTGAGTTAATTGCTTAATTACCCATTAAAGTCGATGGGCATCAGCAGGACTAAGTAAATATTGTCATACAGGTCTAACTACTTGGAATCCAAGTCATGAGAGCTGTGCAGATTCTACCACGCAAAGGGCCCATAACTACTTGAGCTGGAAAATCAGTGTAGACAGTTCCCAGAAGTCCCCTTGGCGCAACCCAAGAATGAACATTGTACAGTGCTATGGAATCTGATGGCGCTATATAAATAATAATAATAATAATAACAGCAGAGCCTCAATATGCTGGCAACTACTCTACAGCACCCTCTCGAGCAAGCTGCCGGTATTGGTTCATGCTCAGGTGTGAGGGGGATGCGCTGAGCATCTGCCTACCTCCTGTCAACTGGGGTGGAGCCCCCCTTAATACACCACTGCTTGTGAGGTTAGCTCCAATTAGCTAATCAACCAGGAAATAATAGAACAGGTTGTCTGACAGCCAATGGGTGTAGCAAGGTAATTGTAGAATGAAAAAAAGCAAAGAAACACAAACGTCATACACGGAGCACTTCGGCATCTAAAGTGCTTTAGGTGTTTGAATCGTTTCTTTAAAGACAGCAGAATTATAAATAAATATTTGCAACCACCAATTAACATTGTTTGCTGATACAAAGCCCAATGTCTACAATTTCCCAAGAGCCACATTTTAAGGGATCTTGCACTTAAAGCTTGAATTAGTTGTAAATTTGTTTTGTTCCTAAAATACAAACGTTTGTACGTACATAGAATGGAATCTGACCCTTAAACCTAAACACGAATTTGGAATCATTCCACAGAGTCTATTCTGCATTCCTTATATTTTGCTGATGACACACACACACATTTTTGTTTTTTGTTATAGTGCTGATTATAATAGTCTTTTTAGATATGCCCAGAGAACCATGAAACTATAGGAAATAAACCCAATGACACCATAAGAGGGGAAGTTACATAACTAGAAGCTAAACCACTGTGCAGCTTTGAAATTGTGTCTAAAACGAATTGAAAGTGTTAAAGGAGCTCTATATGGTCAAGAACAGAAACATGTATTCCTGACTCTATAGAGTTAAAACCACCATCTAGTCACCCTGGTCCCCTAATGCATCCCTAGGGTAGTAAAATCTTACTTGTATTCAAGTCTGGAGCTGCTGGCTTTGTCCCTGTTTCCTTTGACCTGCCCACTGCCTACTGACATCAGCAGAATTGGTAGCCTGATCCAATCATAATGCTTCCCATTAGGATTGGATGAGACTGACAAAGAGGCAGATCAGGGGCAGAACCAGTACAATTCAAACACAGCCCTGGCCAATCAGCATCTCCTCATAGAGATAAATTGAATCAATTAATCTCTATGAGGAAAGTTCAGTGTCTGCATGCAGAGGGAGGGGATACTGAATGTTTGGATGCATTTTAGGCAGCCATGACCCAGGAAGGATATCTAACAGCCATCTGAGGAGTGGCCAGTGAAGTTATCACTAGGCTGTAATGTAAACACTGCATTTTCTCTGTAAAGACAGTGTTTACAGCAAAAAGGCTGAAGGTAATGATTCTACTCACCAGAACAAATTCAATAAGCTGTAGTTGTTCTGGTGACTACAGTGTCCCAAGTGAAAATTGCTTATTGCAGGTCAAAACAGTCAAGATAGCAAAATACATGAATCCTTTTTGTATTTTAGTTTTTACATTTTGTCTAATTTGGCCTAAAAATCACTATTCATGTATGTTTTTAAAAATGTCCCAAACATTACAAATTGATTAAAGAGCTGTTTCTATTGGATTACCCTTTGATTTTGAATATTGACTGAACCTTGGCCTACCAGAAGTTTACATTACTAATTTATCATTTAAAGCCATAACACAGGTTTTACCGCTGAGTGGTGTGAGTATTCTCACACGTTGGTTATCAATTTATCAAGTACTGTTTGCTAACTGTGACTTTTCTGCCATTAGCTTAGTCAAACAGTAGTAGTTTGTAGTCTTTATAGTCAGGAAAGTCAATAAAGACATAAGCAATGACGGTGTCCATCCTTCTAATCCTTGCTAGGGAGTGTGTAACTCTGATAACGGCCCCAACAAACACAAGTTACTCGATAGATAAGGAAAAAACCCAAAACACATGGCCAGTTAAGATTAGCAAATTGCAAACCCATCAAGAACGAGGCTCTTCTAAGCTGATGTGTTTCTCAGGCTTGTTATTAGGCTTACACCACTCTTTCTCTTGTCTACTTGTCCTGTCGAGGACATAGCTGCTTTAAGACTGGGCCAGGGCAGAACTTTCATAGGTTTCCTTTACACTCCTATTATACATTACCACTGGAGAAATGTGCATGTGTGGAATCGATTTGAAGAATATTTGTGTACTGTTTCACAAAGTGGTGGATCCTAGTTAACTGCCCGCTCTGCCTAAAAGATAGAATTGCTACCATTGTCAACCTTCTATTCAAAAAGACCATGAACCACTTTGTGAAATCCATTTAACATATTTTTGTTGTTGTTTTTAGTGATACGTTTAACTATAGTGCCAGGAGAACAAAGTAGTTAATGAAATTCTCTTTGCCAACTCTGGTATAATGAATTTCCCATAATTTTATTAAATCTCCATTTACTGAGCAGCAGATTCAATAACATTAGACAAACATAGTCAGCAGGACACTACACCACTTTTTCTTAAATAGATATTGTCTAAAACAAGAGCTTTCTAATACATGCCATAGAGATCTCATAATAACAGGCTCGTAGTCTAAACAGTAGCATACATAGATGTGGGAGTGATTGTTATTTACTTGTGATTTTATCAGAGTAGGACAAAGAAAAGCAACATTAAACTGAGAAAAGGAAAATTAAATAAAATAAATAAGTATGATAAAATTCAGCCAGCAGGTCTCCCAAGTGCAGTCATAGAGCTGCCAGGTGTAGACTTGGTGCAGGTAGATGATGCAAGTGGGATAGCCTTGTCTGCTTCTGGGTCCTGTGTTGAGGAGGTTGATGGTTGGGATCCACTGGAATATGCATTTTGTAAGAAGATAATCGAATCCTGCACATCAATATGTTTTAAAATAGTTACAAGTTACTTGTAGGGCCCTATGTGTGCCCCATCAGTATGGTATATTCAGATCGAGAGAATTCTGGTCACATGACCTACTGTATGGCACCACAGCATAGTCAACCTTGAGATATCTGTGTAGAAGGACAAAGTGTGTAATTCAAACAGGTAGGTAGGCAATATCGAACTCCTGACATGACTGCCATCTGGTCTATTTGAGTTACAAACTGGACAATGACATCCCCTGGAGACGCTGAAGATGCTTTAAGGGATTTAGCAATGCGGTAATAGCCATCTAATAAGATAACACATCGCTGATCCCTCTGACCTTAATGTTACAAAGATGGCTCTTGTCTTTAAGTTTAAGGCTACACTTTAGATGACTCTTTACAGGAAGTGTTTAGGAATGCTGTGCAAGTCGCATGCAGAGAGGTGTGACTAGGGTTCATAAACAAAGTTATTTAACTCCTAAATGGTAGAGAATTGAGCAGTGAGACTGCAGGGACATGATCTATACACCAAAATTGCCTCAATAAGCTAAATTTGTTTTGGTGACTATAGTGTCCCTTTAACTCTTTAGTTAATAACACTGTTTCAATTTAACCACAATACCCGTCATTGTGATGATTAATAAGATTAAACTATCTGTCGAATCCAGATTCCCTTTTTCTTGCCTGATTTATGACCATTTTTGGAGATCTTCCACAGGAACCTTGTTTGGTGCAACCTATGTCCGTTTCAACACGTTTTGTCACAATTAATTGTTTGTATTATTTACCTATTATGCAGTTCTGCAAACTATTCAGCTTCCTCTGACCTATTCGGACTCAATTTAATTTAATACATTATTTTAACAAGCAAACACAAGGCCCATTTGATTGACAGAGTCATTCTCCTGGGCGATAGGAGGTGTTCTTAATGTTTAGTACAATCACTATATACTCTTATGCTGAAAGAGCACATTTGATAATGTTTTACCTTTACTGCCATTCACTGGTAAATCCTGCTCATTTGTCCCTGTCTGCGAACACAATTTATTTCTTACCTGGCTGAAAGCTGTTTGCAGACACACCTTGCTATATTCCACAGTCACAGCAGCCCAATGGAGTATTCGCCTACATTCCAGACGTGAGTACAATGCTTGCATCTTATATTCGATTAATATTGAATGATGATCCCCAGCGTGTAGTACATGGCTGGTGGATCTTACGATCACACTCAAAGTGATTCTTCTCTGTGTCTTACCTGGGTAAATGTTACACAAACAAGAGAGAAAATAATGGAAAAAAAAAAAAAGTTAAACATATTCAATTACTTGCATTGTTTTGAAATGTAAAATATTAAAGTTCCTTTAAACTGGGATATATGAGACAGTTGTGGCACTAGACCATGGCCAAGTTATTGGTAACGGCACCACTTATAGAATAGAATAGATATTGGGCTATGATTGGAAATGGCATAATATAAGCGTGTTCCATTACAAAGCTTGTCTAAATAGTATTCTTTCCAGAATGCCAGACAGCAAGCATGTCATATGCATAGTTTTGTTGTTGTTTTTTTTGGCGTGTAGAATGGATATCATTTATGTACATTCTTCATTTTGCCAGCCTTCTTATAAGTTGGTGAGACTGTAAAAATGGACATGTAAAGCCTTGTTTATATACAAAATGTCTTATTTTCTGCATGACCAAGTCAATTTAAAAATGTGACCGTTTTTGTGTCTATTGAAGTGAAAGTTAGTATAATTGCACTCTTATCAGCCCTTTCCCAGTAGCCATGTAAGTTCGGATATGAGCCACGTGTTCCTATGCAATGATTAGAAAGACATAATGCAACTATAGTAAAAAGGTTTCATTATTTCTGTTGTAAAGAATGTATGAATGAATTAACTAATCAATTGCAAAACTTATGTTTTATGTTCTAGAGAAATCTGTACGTGTGATATAGATATATACATGTAGGGGCTAAATGTGCATGAAGATTTAAGTTTATTAACTACTGTGCAGTAAGGGTCAATAAAAAGGTTTGCTCGTTCATTACGTTCTATTTGGTAAGACCGGAGAATTCAAAAAGGAAAGAGAACTACGATTTGTTTCAGTAGAGCTTAAGATTGAACTATTGAGACATGAAGCCAAAACTATGTGTTACTCAAACACACTGAAAATGTCATTGAGCAAAAGGTGACAAGTTAACTGCTTTCCGAATTACATAAAACCTATCTCATGTAATGTTAAACCAAAATGATTCTAAGTTGATTTCAAAGTTTATTGGACTTTGCGGATGGACTCATAAATTGCTAACCTTAAGATGACTCTCTGTGATCTCATAAGTGCGATAGGTGTCGGTAGATCTTATTGAGATATGTACTGACTGACCTCGCATGGTTAATACACATGTAGCAAAATCTACAGTACTTATAACTGGCATTGAATAGGCACAAAAGCTTCGATTTAACATTGTTGGGTAAACATTTCATATGATTTAATATTTATGGATAAACGTTTCAAATGATTTAGTATTATGAAAAATATTTTAATTTTGTAATATTTTTATATTGTATGATGTATTGATTTTTTATTTCTACATGATATATAGTTTAATATTTTGAAAAAAATAATTGTAAATTTTTATCCAAATATATAAAATCGTTTGAAAAAAACTTATCTAACATTATTAAATAGAGGCCATAGAAAGAGATGTCTTTAGAAACAGAAGTGTTTTGTTATTCTTAATTTTTATATATCGCTACTTCAATACCCTCACACTCCCGAAAACACAAACACCTCTTTCACACTTTTATCACTCTACTTTGCCCTGTTGCTACTCCTTCTACTAACTTGATCGCCACAAACTTCACTACTCACTTCACTGAGAAGATTTCTGCGACCAGGGAAGAAATCTCTAAACTCTCTCCTACCAATACTTCCCTCAACCCTCCTCCCTATCTTGTTCTATGCTCCTCGCATCTGCAATGCCAGAAGAGGGTTTTGCATTGTACTCCAGCCCCAATCACTTGTTCCCACGATCCTATTCCCTCACATTCCACTTGTGCTTTGTCTCTTTCTCTTGCTAAGCCCCTCACTAAAATATGAAATCTCTCCCTCTACTCTGGCATATTTCCCTCAAGCACACAACCTTCAACCTGATTCTAAAAAAGCCCAACTTTGACCCTAACATCCAATTACCACCCTATCGCACTACTACAGTTTTCCTCCAAGATCTGAGAGAGTTATGCACAGCCCAAGCCCTGCAGACAGCAAGGTGTGCCTGCCCCTTTGGGAGTAGTCTGGCTGGGTTTGAACTCACTGCTCCAGCATCCCAGTCAGGTTCTCTGCCATGATATCCACTAGGGGGCTTCAGTATCTCTCTGCATTATTCTGCTTCCTGACCCCCTTGCCTGGATTAAGCAGCACTAATCCACCTGCAGCCCTTTTCCAATTAGGGTCAGCTGCACCTAATTAGCAGGCTGTAAAAGCCAGCCCTGCCTGAAAGCTAGTATCTGGTCATTTTGCCTGTTTGGTGTTTCCTGCCAGATCTCTGCTTCGCTACTGACTGATTTCCTGGACTCTGACCTCTGCCTGCTTTACGGACTACGATACTCCGCTGCCAGCCCTGACTTCTGCTTCTTGTCTAATCCTGCCTTTGGATTACCCTTTTATCTGTACTGTGTTTTTGGATTTTGCCTCCTCCTTGTGTCATCTCCTGCAACTGGGCTCCAACTCCTGGTAAACTGTTACATAAGTCCCCTGGTGACTGTTACAGCAAGCAAAATTGAAAGACTTCCTTGAATCCAACTCTTTGCTTACCCTCTTTAGTCTGGATTCTGCACTCATCACTCTGTTGAAACGGCTCAGATCAAATTATCCAATGATTTAATTGCTGCTAAATCCAGTGGTAGCTACTCTCTTCTCATTCTCCTTGACCTTTCTTCTGCTTACGATACTGTTGATCATCAATAACTTCTGTTCATCCTCCCTAATCTCGGTTTACGAGACTGCTCTTTCCTGGTTCTCCTCCTACCTTCCCAAGTCCTTCTTTTTCTGGTTCTTCCTCTTCTCTGTAACCCCTTTCTGTTGGTGTTCCCCAAGAGTCTGTCCTTGGTCCCCTACTTTTCTTAAAGGACCACTCTAGGCACCCAGACCACTTCAGCTTAATGAAGTGGTCTGGGTGCCAGGTCCCTCTAGGATTAACCCCCTTTTTTTTTTTTTTTTTAATAAACATAGCAGTTTCAGAGAAACTGCTATGTTTATAAATGGGTTAATCCAGCCTCCAAATCCTCTAGTGGCTGTCTCATTGACAGTTTTTAAAACTCCATTTGCCATGGAGCTCAGTCACTCTGAAGACTGAGAATGATGTGAAAATATGTGGAAAAACAAAGACCTAACTTTGGCCTTGATTTAATATTTTTGGATCAGCTTTTAAAATGATTTAATTTTTTTTTTGGATAAACATTTAAAAAAAAAATTTTTCAATATTAAAATGTTTTTTTTAAAAAAATCTTTTTTTTTTTTTCTTTTTTTATCAATATATAAAAAAAAATCAAAATGTTACAATATGTTTTCAAAATATTAAATTATTTAAAGAGGTGTATCCAAAAATATTAAATAATTTGAAAGACATATCCAAAAATCTTAAATTGAAGCCATCAACTTTTAAGACATATGTCTGTAAGTGAAGGTGTTAAAACGAATCGCCACCTCAGCCATTACAACCATAGAATTATTGTCCCAATGACGTACAGCCATAAAACCACCAAGGCCGTTTTATTCCAGCTGGTTAACGTTTGCTGAGCACCGTTCTCGTTAGCCAGCATTAAATTGTCATGTAAAGATAATTAGGTGCTTAACAGTCAATATCCTGCCTTAAAAGCCTTTTTTTCGTGGATGGCTTGTTCTGTACATAACATGTACGGCTGCGCTCTGAGACAGTGGCTGTGTTTACATGTAGGAACCTAGGATAATAACGGATATAAACGGGGGTTAGAAGTTTAAGACAGCGTTGATGGGCCTTGCAAATGGACAGACAGACAGTAACATATGCTGTGCTCTGCGTGTCTGAAAATTCAGATAGGAAATCTGTTTTGTGCAATTTATTCTCTGTATGCAAAGGCATCTATTTAAAAGCCAAAGCTGTGATCTAATAACTAAACTGGGAATAAAACACCCATATCGGATATGAATCAAGTAAAGTACTTTATGTGCTTATATACATTTCTATTCTGTTTATAAACCCGTTACTTTTTTACTACAGCTCTGCAAATCTTGGTCGCTGGGGGTCAGGTGGCCGAGGGGGAAGATAAAGGTGAATTTACTTACCTGAGCCTGTCCCTCATGGGAGCTGCCATCTTGGTCCGGTGTGGTCCTCCTCATCGCTGACATCACTGCTCTACTCTTGCGTATGTGCAAGAGTACAGCATTGAGGTCTATGGAGAATCCCGCAAGACCATGGAATCCTCCATAGACACAGCAAGTTCGGCTGCAGGGACTGACTCTTAGACTCCACCATGAGTCTGTTAAAGTTAGGCGAGAGAAAAAATACAGAGAAATACAGTAGTCCCTATTTGTAGTGAAATTCCAATTCCACTGTCATAATGAGTATATCATAAAGATTCTATCTTTATGAAATACAAATTTTTTTGGGGGGAAGAGGGTTGACAGTGCAGCTTTAAATCACTCATGGGGAGAATAAGGTGAATGACTTTTAGTCAATGCATGTGAGCCTGCACTGCATTGAGCCAATCAGAAGCAGAGGTGACCAGGTGAGTCACTTCTGCTTTTTCTGGCTTTCTCATGAGACCCTGTGTGAGTCAGCCACAGTCCTGAGTGCTGCTAGTTCCAGTCTGCCACCCACCACCAGTCCACCACCACTTCCAGTGTCAGGCTGCCAGTCCAGCTCTGTGCCAAGACTGCCATCCAACCGAGTCACCTGCGTCTGCTGCCATCTGCCAGCCTGAGCCTGCCATTGTGCCACCTGCCCTGCTGCCTAACTTATCAAGTACTTTAATTTTGCTGGACCTGGTTCTGCTAGATTGCAAGCTCTTGGTGAAATTACCTGTATGCCCTGGTCACCAATCTAACTCAAGTTAGCAGATATGAGTAAAGAACTGAATAAAAAAAACACCCTAATAAGAATATATAAGGTGTCAACAGATTATACTTATCAATCGTTAAGTGTCAGCCTCCCTCAGATCACCCCCAGTCAGCAATCCCACATCAACAAAGAAATTTATACAGAAAAAAAGATGAAACCAACAGTTCTTCACAACACAGGCATCTGGATGTCAGTTATGTCCTGGTTTATATATGTAATTGCAAAGACTGAAGAAAATGTCCTCAAGAGCTTGCAGTCTCATTCTTTACCTAAATTAACATAATGGGTGTGGGTGTGTTTTTTGTTGGGGGGAGTGGGGCCACATTTCATCCTTGGATTTAGGGAGCACGATGTCTTGGGCCAGCCCTTCCATACATGCCCCATCTGAGGCCGCCCCACACATCCAGTCTGTGTAAGAGGCAGACACGGTGATCAAACATGTCAATTTACAGATACAGAGGTTCTATGTAACCATGCACTGTCACTGAATAGACCAAAGAACTGCAACATTTTCTGTCAACATAGTTAATTTAAAAAAAAATGTCTGCACTATTTTTTACAGCTCTACCTAGATTTCTCCACAATTCCCAGTTTAACGAGTAATCCTAATAGTGTTTGTTAAGTTGTGTTAAATTCTTTCCAGATAACAAACATTATCGGAATATAAGCAACCAGTGTAGAAATATGTGTTTTTCAAGATTAGTATTCTCGGGATATATTAGCATCTTTGTACTAGAACTTCCTGTACTTTATTTTCTAGATAATGACTCTTGAATGGTTTTTGTTCGAGGTCTAGCTTTGCAGATGTCAAAAACATGCTCCTTTAATGTGAAGCTGTCATAACGCCTTCATTTTTCTTGTTTGCAATTCTCTGAGCGATAAATAATGAATGTATCATAAAGATCAATGATATATAGCATTGCACAAGGAGCTATTAGCTCAATGTTTACCCCTTTCCTGCTCCGCTGTGGCTGCCGTTAATAAGTTTCGTTAATGTTACACTAGTGTCACAATCACCATAATTCTCCCTACCTACCACCCACCTCCAGTCTGAACCATCTGCATTATGTCAGTGAATTGCTGTCATATAATTGATTGACATGGGAGGGGACATTGCTCATTTATTTAGTTTTTTTTTTTTTGTTTGTTTATTAGAAAACCAATGAGCATACAGAAACCTTCACTAAAATAGGTTTAAGGAAATAAAAGGTAAATAATATTCCACATATTTCTCCCAAGAGAAAGATATTAATTAAAGGGATACTTTAAAAATCATTATGGTGTCCGGAGATCCTTGGTGCCATCTTATCTGAAGGCTGCTGTTGTGTTATGTTGCCAGCAGTACCCTGTCTCTGTTTCCCAGTAGTGGGGCAAACAGTTTGGCAATGGTTTGCCCCCCTTACCTGGGTCCCTGCCTGGCTCCGATGCTCCCTGGTGGTCCAGTGATGCACTTACGACTTTTGCAGAGCTGTAGAAGGCTGAAACCGCGGACGTTGACATTCTTTGGTTGAGTTCATCAGCTGACCACTCTCTGATGACATGAACGCTGATGACACCCCAGTGAATCGACCGAAGGAGTTACACCTCTGGCAGCCGAGGGGTTAAACTTCATTTGTGTAGCCTTTTTTAAAGCAAAACGATGCACATTCAGACTCCAGGCACCATGACTACTTCAAATCATGATGCCTGGAATTACTCTTTAAGGGGTTAAACCATTTGCAAACAGTTTAATCCAAAGTCCTCTCAATGTCACCTGTCCTACTGGTCACTATACCTCTTTCTCCACGCATGGGCATTGACGTCTTAATTAGACCTTCCCCATAGGAAGGTATTGAATCAATGCTTTCCTATCTGGTTTTCCAAGATGTTGGGTGTCCTTGTGTAATTAAACTCTGGGAAACTGCAGGAAGCACCACTAGATGTGTCTTCCTTGCAATATTTTCAGCTGCAGAGTTAAGGGAACAGGGACACTGCATTTAAACAACTTCAATGAGATGCTTGTGACCAGCAATATATGACTGTAGTAACCAGGGGCGGATCCAGAACCAAATCTCGTGGTGGACTATAACGGGGTGAAAAAGGCTGCAGCGGAAGGATAGGGCACTCTAGTTTAGGGGATACGAGGCTGTACACATATGGGGCCACACACAGGGATATGGAAACACAATAACACACTGACACCTACACACAAATACAAACATATACCTTCAGGTACACACACAGATATACCTACACACACTGGCACACACACAGATACACATACCTACACATAAATACACACATACACACACTGGCACATAGATACACACACATACCTGCACATACACAAACTGGCACATAGATACACACATACCTACAAATGCACACTGGCACACACACAGCTACACATACAGACACACAGACACGCACATGCACACACTGGCACACATACCTTCACATACACACACAGATACAAGGTAATAGAATATACAGGCAAAACTCCAGGTACTGAAGGTGTATTTATTGGAGGGTAGAACACCCCATAAAAGTGTGACGTTTCAGCCCTTGAGGGCCTTAAGCATGATTAACCTTCAGTACCTGGAGTGTTGCCTGTATATTCTATTGCCTTGTATTGTTGGACGGATTAGCAGTGTCTGTCTAATGCAGAGCACCTCTGAGGCTGTGGGCCGGAGTGAAAAGCGAAACCTGAGTGCAGTGGTTGTCTGTGGTACACACAGATACACACACATACATACTCACAGATACACACTGACACTCACAGATACACAGTGACACTCACAGATACACACATATACATACTCACAGTTACACACTGACAGTCATAGATACACACACTTACACACAAACATACTCACAGGTACACACTGACACACACATACTCACATATACTCACTGATACACACTGACACTCACAGATACTCACACTGACACACACAAATACACAAACATACTCACAGATACACACTGACACACACAGATACACACAAACATACTCACAAATACACACTGACACACACAGACGCACACACATACTAACATGTACACACATACTCACATATACACGCACATACTCACAGATACACACTGACACTCATAGATACACACTAACATACACAATTGCCCCGTTGCCCCCTCCCCGCATCCCACCTGGATCTGATACTGGTAGCAACAGACACTTTCTGGAGGGTTACAAACATTTATTCAGGTTTTCTCTGAAGCATAACTACTGCATAAGGCAGACATAACCGAAAGAACAAAATCTAAAATGAAACATGCCTCTAGATTTTGTCTGCAAACGGAATGTGGACAATCTTGCACAAAAGATGTTCAACAGATACAGAAGACACCAAGAAGATTCAGTGTCTGATTTTTCTTTCTTCATGGCTTAAAGGGACACTACAGGCACCACAAACACTAAAGATAACAAGAGCATTTACCAAAGTCATAGCTCGGGCAGCCTCTGATAGGAGTACAAATAATAGCACATTAGAAGGATTCGCTAATCGCGGCACAAGAGGCCACATAGTCTCCAACACACTGATTCTGAACCTAAAACCGCAACATTGCTAAGATACATAAAGATCTGGAAAATATTTCACACCTGGTGGAAATCCCTGAGTACATATTAATTCTCCTCCTAGAGCAGCATTTTGCTGCACATGCGCACTAAACTCCCAATGCTTTCTTGATCTCACCCATAGTGGAGTGGCTTTCGTGCAGTCCAAAGCAGTGTGGGCTGAAAAGTAAGTAAATCTCATCTTTCAAACCCTCATATGGAGGTGGGCACATCTAAAAAGAAAGCAGGACACTACAGCTTTTGTAATATATGTTTGCCTTTATAACACTATAGTGTTTCTTTAATAATACAAATTTCTTTTTATACACCCATTCTTATATCCAAGGTAGAACCTCTCTCGTTTAATTAATAATGCAGATTGGATATTAAAGAGAAGTAATTCTCCGGTAATAATTATCGCTTAGAGACCTCTCTATTTAGTTATTTATTTATTTATAGAGGATAAATTTAAAAAAAATGTAATGTTAATTGTGAAAGGAACATTTAAAGATGTATGGGAGAAATAATCGTACATTATAAAGAGGTTGTTTTTGCAACAGTATACTAGGAAAGAATTTTATGACTCAGTCATATGGCATACCATAAAGTAGACAGTCACTCTTCTTGTTCTTCATTCTTCATATTAAATCCCAGTAAATACTGCTGTGTTCACACGAAACCTCCCAAATTCAACCTTTACTCACATAAATGGCCATAAAAACCTCCAGATCACGTGTCATGTCGTGCTTCCTAATTGCTTTCTTAATTGACCAGTCTGGATCTTCCGTAGGAGTAGTTTCTGTCACGCCTGGGGTGTATAATTCATTGTTGCACTATAGAATATCGCTATTTAATGTGATTTGTGTAGTGCATACATGAATTGGCTTCCTGGTTGAGGTGGTATGGCCAAATTCAGCATGGGAGGGGATTATTTGATTGTAAGGGAAAGTGATAGGTATAAGAAGGTTTACAACATTTATTTCTCTTTTGAAGCAGTGACTCCAGAGTTGCTCCGTAAGGTTAAAAAAATGTCACATGAGTTGCATCTAAGTCTAGCGTCAATGTAAACTAACTGGCTAATCTACCATATGCATGTATTCCCTCATAGATAGTGGACTCTTTTGATATGCTACGTGACCATTACGTGACCATTAGCAGTCAGGAGACAATTGTCTTCCATTGTCATATCCAAAGAAATATTAATAATAGTCCACAGATGAATAATCAATAATCATGCCTCCTTTTCTGCATATCCAGAACAGGGAAAGCACAACTTGCAAAAGGAGTATAAATAATGCAAGCACAACTTAAGCTGTTTGGAAGGAATTGTGAAGTCCGTTGTATTAGGTCATAAGTAGGAAGTGTGACATATGTATGGAATCAAAAAATTGCAACAAATTCATAGGTGCATCATTTCTGTGGTAAGCACAAAAGAGAAAAAAAAATCAAAAAAATCTGTGTGGATTGGTGTTGGTCTGAAACACAAGGTGGGGGTCACCTATTGTTCCTATAAGTAAGTCTTCACTCCACCTATAACACCTCTTGGCCGGCATGGAGACTTGAGATAAATAGAGGAGGTATACATTTAATGATGGGCAAATGTCTGGTGTGCTTACTGGGGACCAAAATCTAATTTTGAGTAAGTCACCATATTTCCTTGCTAGAGCCCCCAAACAGAAAATGCTGTTACTTTACTGTCTAAGTAAGTAGATGGGTTTTCTGTTATTTCTCCTTTTTATTTATATCTGTTTGATATAAATAGTTAGCTACAATTTCATTAAAAAGATTTCCTTGAGTAATCCTCAAGTGCATTGTCCTAACAATTCTAAATAAAATGAAGGCAATAACAGAAAAGTTTTACCATACTAACCATAATTTTCTTTTCCTGGCTTTTATTCATGGCAGCATCACTTATGGGTTACATAGTTACATAGTTACATAGCTGAAAAGAGACTTGCGTCCATCAAGTTCAGCCTTCCTCACATTTGTTTTTTGCTGTTGATCCAAAAGAAGGCAAAAAAACCCAGTTTGAAGCACAATTTTGCAACAAGCTAGGAAAAAAATTCCTTCTTGACCCCAGAATGGCAGTCAGATTTATCCTTGGATCAAGCAGTTATTACCCTACATTGAAAGATTATATCCTTGAATATTCTGTTCTTGCAAGTATGCATCTAGTAGCCGTTTGAACATCTGTATGGACTCTGATAAAACCACTTCCTCAGGCAGAGAATTCCACATCCTGATTGTTCTTACAGTAAAAAAACCTTTCCTTTGCCTTAGGCGAAATCTTCTTTCTTCCAGTCTAAACGCATGGCCTCGTGTCCTATGTAAAGTCCGGTTTGTGAATAGATTTCCACACAATGGTTTGTATTGGCCCCGAATATATTTGTATAATGTTATCATATCCCCTCTCAGGCGACGTTTTTCTAAACTAAATAGGTTTAAATTTGTTAACCTTTCTTCATAGCCGATATGTTCCATTCCTTTTATTAATTTTGTAGCCCGCCTCTGCACTTTTTCTAGTGCCATAATATCCTTCTTTAGAACAGGTGCCCAAAATTGCACAGCATATTCAATATGGGGTCTTACCAGTGATTTATAAAGAGGCAAAATTATATTCTTGTCCCGAGAATGAATGCCCTTTTTCATGCATGACAATACCTTACTGGCCTTGGCCACTGCTGATTGACATTGCCCATTGTTGCATAGTTTGTTGTCTATAACAATTCCCAAGTCCTTTTCATGTGTTGTTATCCCTAATTCGCTTCCATTAAGGGTATACGTTGCTTGTGTATTCTTTACGCCGAAGTGCATAACTTTGCATTTTTCAACATTAAATTTCATCTGCCATTTGAGTGCCCAGTCCCCAGTCTATCTAAATCCCTCTGCAGCAAAGTAATATCTTGCTCACATTGTATTATTTTACAAAGTTTTGTGTCATCTGCAAACACTGAAACATGACTTTCAATGCTGTCTTCAAGATCATTTATAAACATGTTAAATAGAAGGGGTCCCAGAACAGACCCCTGAGGGACACCACTTGCCACCTCTGTCCAGCTTGAAAATTTACCATTAATGACAACTCTTTGTACTCTGTTTTTAAGCCAATGTTCTACCCAAGAACAAGCATTTTCATCTAGACCGATTTCCTTGAGTTTGAACACTAATCTATTGTGTGGAACTGTATCAAATGCCTTGGCAAAATCCAAAAAGATCACATCCACGGCAACACCCTGATCTATACTTCTACTTACTTCTTCGTAGAACGCAATCAAGTTAGTTTGACATGACCTGTGCTTCATAAAACCATGCTGATTTTTGCTGATAACCATGTTCTTCTCAAGGAATTCTTGAATATTATCCCTTAATAAACTTTCAAATATTTTACCAGCCACAGAAGTTAAGCTCACAGGTCTATAATTTCCAGGCAAGGATTTTGAACCCTTTTTGAATATAGGAACCACATCTGCCTTCCTCCAATCCTCCGGAACACTTCCTGAAAGAAAAGAATCTTGAAAGATTAAAAACAGAGGTTCACTTATTTCTGCACTTAGTTCCTTAAGTACACGTGGATGGATACCGTCAGGCCCTGGAGCTTTGTTTATATTAACTTTCTTTAGTTGCTGCAGCACCTTGTCTTGAGTTAACCAATTACAATTATTCTGCAAGTTTTTAGTAGCAATCATTTGCACATCTATTGCCATGGGTTCTTCCTTAATATATACGGAGGAGAAAAAGTTATTTAAAATTCCTGCCTTTTCCTGGTCTTCATTAACTAACACCCCCGTTTCAGTTTTTAGTGTACCTACACTTTCATTTTGGGGTTTTTTAGAATTTATGTACTTAAAAAATGCTTTGGGGTTGGTTTTGCTCTCTTCAGCTATCATTATTTCATTTTGAAGTTTAGCAAGTCTAATTGCCTTTTTGCACGCATTATTTGCATCCTTATATCTTTTATAAGATGCATCTGATTTGTCCGATTTAAATGCTTTAAATGCCCTTCTCTTAGTTGTAATCTCTTGTTTTACTTCTCTACTAAGCCATGTTGGTTTTAATTTGTTTCTTTTATATTTATTTCCCAATGGTACATACTGAGAAATGTACCTTTGTAATATTTGTTGGAAGATGATCCATTTATCCTCAGTGTTCTTTTCACTAAAGAGTTTATGCCAGTCAATATATTGTAAAGCTTCCCTTAACTTATTGAAATTGGCCTTTTTAAAATTATATGTTTTAGTATTCCCCATGTGCTTTTGTTTTTTTGAGTTTATTTCAAAGGACACTATATTGTGATCACTATTTCCCAAGTGCTCACCTACTTGAATGTTGGTCAAAAGATCAACGTTGTTTGTTAAAACCAGGTCCAGACAAGCATCCATTCTAGTTGGTGCTTGTACAAGTTGTGACATGAAGGTGTCATTTAACAAGTTTAAAAACCTAATTCCCTTTGCTGAGGCACTAGTCCCTCTGTCCCAATTTATATCCGGGTAATTAAAATCTCCAATAATTAAAGTGTTACCCAGATTTGCAGCTTTCTCAATTTGCTCAAACAGCTGTTGTTCCTCGTCAATATTAACATTAGGTGGTTTATAACATATCCCAACCAATAGTTGGTTTCCCTTATTTTCCCCCAAGCAGATATTTACCCATAAAGCTTCACTCCCAACAGGAACAGGACAGGAACAATTAGTTAAGACTGTAGGAATAAAAGGTCTCTCCTATCTCTACCCCACAGTCTAGTTTTAAATGCTCAGAACAACAAGGGAGGGTTGCTGCTGCTGCCATGAATAAAAGCCAGAAAAATAAAATTACGGTATATATGGTATACATTTCTGTTTTCCTGACTATTCAGGGCAGCATCACTTATGGTTAATACTTAAGCTAATATTCATGGGAGGGAAAAAACAGAGACTCTGAACTTGCTGCAAAAATATTTGTGGGAGGCAACTGAGGATAATACTCCTGTCCCAAAGGTCGTAGATGAGGAAGCCAGATCCAGCTTATAATGTATGATACAAGTCATCGGAGTAGACCTGGTAGCTGCCCTTTATATGTCATTAGATTAAATCTCTGCCCAATTAGCCCATGAGGTAGCCCATGAGTCTTTATCCTCTCTGGAGGAGTTAGGTCTTTCAAATAATAAGCCTTCTTTATAGTGTTAGAGATCCAATGTCTCAAAGTAGTGGTTGAAGCAGTATCACCTTTTCGGCAACCAGTCGGAAGAACGACTTACAAAATTGCTTAGTGACCGCCAGATATTTTATCAGACAATCCTTAACATCCAGCTGATGAAGTTTTTCTTCTTCTGCAGAAGAAGGATTTGAATAAAAGGAAGGGATGACTACTTCCTGTAGTATGTGGAATTGTGAAACCCCCTTAGGAAGGAATTCAATTCTAGGTCTTAATATTATTCTATCATGAAAAATCTGAATATGATTATCGTCACTGGAAAAGTCTTGGATCTCCAGCATTCGTTTAGTCGTTGTAATAGCCACTAAGATCAAGGTCTTATATGTCAGAAGAGTAATACCCAGCTCATCCAAAGGAGCAAAGGTTGTGTCTGACAGGACATCTAGAACCATAGGCAGATCCCACAGGGGGAATCATTTTTGCATGGAGGTCTTATGTATATAAATGCCTTGAAGAACCTTGTGATCAGTGGATTTGATGCCCACGAGATGTTGCACAATGCCGATAATGCTGATGACTGGACTTTTAAGGTGTTCAGGCGTAAACCTTTCTCCAGACCTGCATGAATGGAATTTTGTTCTGCCCATGAATGAAATTTCTTCCAAATTCTGTGATAACAAGCCAAAGTAGAATTGCCCTAATTCTGGATTAGTAAGTCCGAAGGATTTAAACTCATCCTGTTCAGGATTGGAAAGCAAGGTCTCCTTGGCCAAATTGGTATTATTGCAATCACCTTCCTTCCTTCTTTCCAAATATTTCTCAATAATCGATGAATCATAGGTAAGGGAGGGAATGCATACCCCAGATTGAATTACCAGGGAAGAAAAAAGGCATCCTGTCTTGCTGAATGATTGTCTGCTTGTGGAAAGAAGTACTTTGGGACTTGCATATTCCTGTTTGAAGCCATTAAGTCGATCTGGGCTGTGCCCCACCGAATAGATATCATCTGAAACACTTCCGGATTCAGTTTTCATTCTCCGGGGAGAATCGCAGTTCTGCTCAAGTAGTCTGCCAACACATTTTTTGGACCTGGCACATTTTTTGGACCGCTTTTAAGCCTTGTAACTTGTTTTGGCCAAATTTAATCAGGGGAACAAGTTCTATTAAAAGAGCTTTGCTTCGGGTTCCACCGTGGCGATTTATATAAGCTGTCACAGCTCTGTTGTCTGTAAGGATTCTTATCCATGAGTTCTTCAGGTAGTGATTGTCACAGTTCCCCGCAATTCTGTCAGCGTGGCCGCACAGAAACATAGCGGCTACGCTGACAGAAAAATTAAAATACTTACAATACTTACCTTGGTCGCGGCAAGCGGCTGCCTCCTTGATGGGTGGGGGTAGCTTGGTATTTGTTACGTTGCAGGACCCTATTGTAACATATGAGCTGCATTAAGTATGCCACAAAATATATTATCATCCCCCTGGTCTAACAAAAAAGCAGGTATTTTCTATGAAATTACTAAATTTGAAGCATGTATTAATTAAAAAATGCATATTATTGGGGTTTAAAGGTGAAAATAAGAAAGAAAAAAAAATATGTTTAATATAACATTCAGCTGCAGGAGAGAACTGGTCTTATACAAGGCCTTTGCCAAATTGATAATGTCAGACACCATGACGCCAGGTGGCCAAATTGTGATAAAATTAAAGAACCATTCAATAGAAGTTGCACATAACTAATTCTCAAATAATACCCATCAATATCACCCTACTCTGTATTTTGGTGTTCACCAAACCTCAATAGCCTTTTTCCCTTTCTTTAAGGTTTACCATCAACAATGAGTCCAGAGATGCTGGAGATAGCTGTCAAAAAAATATCAGAATGGACCTCTTTGTTCATATTTCACTTATCCCTGCGGTAAGCTGCATGGCCACTTACAGTATTCCTAGAGTAACAGAGCACGGAACATTGAATTGGTTCAGATTGTTGAATGCATTTTTATGAAAGAGTGGATGTTGGTCAATCCATATGGCTGCCAATCTACTTATCACCTACCCACGGTGGCGTCTCTAGGATTCATTTTTAGGGGGGGGCACATGGTGGGCCAGGGACAAAAGTAGGGGGGCACATTGTACCCTGCCCTTGCCGCAGTTTGACCCCGCCCCTGCTGCATGTTAAGCCCCACCCACGACACAATGTGTTGTTGTTTTTTAAATCCCTGGTGGAGGATTCATTATTTTCCACCAGGGATCACTAAAAAACAAACACATTTCCCTTGATACAGTGCCATAGTTGGCACTGTATCCATATACACAGTCAGTATACACACACACACACAGACTGCTGAGTCCATACACACACATAGACTGCTGAGTCCATACACACACACACTGCTGAGTCCACACACACACACACACACACACACACACACAGACACACAGACTGCTGACTCCATACACACACAAAAGCTTCCTCACTAGCAGACACACACACACACAGACTGCTGAGTCCATACACACACACAGACTGCTGAGTCCATACACACACATAGACTGCTGAGTCCATCCACACATACAGACTGCTGAGTCCATCCACACAAAAAAGCTTCCTCATTAGCACACACACACACAGACTGCTGAGTCCATACACACACACACACACAGACACACAGACTGCTGAGTCCATACACACACAAAAGCTTCCTCACTAGCAGACACACACACAGACTGCTGAGTCCATACACACATACAGACTGCTGAGTCCATACACACACACACTGCTGAGTCCACCCACACACACACTACTGAGTCCATCCACACACACACACACACACGCACACACTGCTGAGTCAATACATACACAGACTGCTGATTCCATACACACACACAGACTGCTGAGTCCATACAGACACAGACTGCTGAGTCCATACACACACACAGACTGCTGAGTCCATACAGACTGCATATTAAGCTTACCTGTCACTGGAGGCTGTTGCTGGTGGTCAGACAGCCATCTTCTGGCCTTTACAACAGCAGCTTCAAGGTCTGCTGCTTAACGGCGGGGACGGGGCTTATGTGCGGGAGGCGGAGCTTCGTTTGGGGGCGGTCCTGTGCCGTGGAAGCTGTCACTGCTCCCTCCAGCCACAGACAGCACCCAGCGCTCCAGCCCCTCTGGCCAGACTGTCCTGCATTCCCTCGGGCTGTAACAGACTGTTACAGTCCGAGGGAATATAATTTAAACACATGGCCAGCAAGTTGCTGGCATTTGGGGGGGGCACAGCACCCCTAGTGATGCCACTGCCTACCCAGTATCTTATTGCAATCACCACACCAGCTTTAATTTTGGCGACTAACAATTTTAGTCAAATTTTAGTCGACTAAAACTAGACTAAAACTAAAATAATTCAAATTACTAATATTCGACTAAAACTAAAATTGCTTTTTAGTCAAAAGGCTATGACTAAAACTAAATTGAAATTTGCTGCAAAAATTAACACTGCACGGAGGGGCTGTGGAAGGGGCAAAAGAGAAACACCAGGGCTTGGGAGAGAGATACCTAGAGGGGTTGGGCAGATACAAAGAGACACAGAGGGCTGGGGAAGGGGCAAAAGAGACAGACAGAATCTACTGGAGATTTAGTCGACTAAAACTAGGTTAAATCTAAAACAATTCAGATGACTAAAATACGACTAAAACTAAAATAGACTGTGTAGACTATAGACTGTAAGGTCGTTTGAGTAGGGCCCTCTTCAACCTATTGTTCCTGTAGGTTTTTGTAATTGTCTCATTTGTTGTTAAATCTCCCCCTCTGATAGTATCGTAATAATAAAATGGCTTTTTAGTCAAGAGACTATGACTAAAACTAAACTGAAATTTGTCACCAAAATTAACACTGCACCACACCTAGCCTCAGTCTTTATATCATAGATTGCAACATGTCACCTTTGTTTCCCCTTGTTTCTTGTTTTTATAAGAATACTGTTATCTTTTGTAATTGCATAAAGTAATGTCTCTTCCCCAGGTTCTCATTACGCTCTTGTTATCCTTTTTGCAAAAGCGTGCAATGCACCAGAAATCGATTGATAAAGTTCCACTGGGCAAGAGATTTGGCATAGTTGTGTAAGTAACCATTCTGCTTCTATCTAAGCAAACACGTCTTGATGATGTCATAGTTGTCTTTATCGATACTGATTTCCTTTACAAATTGAATTCCGTGCAACATTAGATTATTGCTCCATGGATGAACACAGAACAATCTAGCAGTAGGAGTGAACAAGGAATTCCATTAGGGCATGCATCACAAGTATAGTTTAATTAAAAAAAAATAATAATCACCTAAATATTACTTCAAAAAAACACAAAGCATAAAACACGACAGATTACTCTATTGATAACCAGGTTTATACAGATACTTCCATTTCAATATTTTGCCTTCAGACAGATAATGAGCTAATATAGACAAATGCTTATAATTCTGCCTACTAAATTTTCCTATAGGATAATAATGCAATTTCACCGTTCACTAAAGATGAGATTTTTGTAAATGGAAAATTGAGTTAGACCAATATAAAGAGTTTGGAAAAATAATCCTTTCTGTTTTGCTCAGACTAAATTCTTCAAACACACACTTGAAAATTTCCTGTTGATTGCATTCACAGCTGATATTGTCACACTCTGCTCTATCCAATTACCACCTCTGTTTTTGCTACCCTATCAAGCTCTCCATACCAGATCCCATGAATTCTAAGTTTCATGCATAATATGTGTTTCATTAACAAAACCATTTTAACCCGGCAGCCTACCCCATTAACGGGCACTTACCTGGGTTTTTAATTTGTTTACTTATCCCTAAATGTAATGATTTGTGAGGAATGAAAAATAAAATTAAAGGACCACTGTAGGTCTGTAGGTCTCCCCCACCCTTAGGGTCCCCCTCCCGCCGGGCTCTAGGGTGAGGAAGGGTTTTCTCCACTGCCAGGCTCCCTCGGTGGTGGTGTCTCTCCGCCTTCTTTCCCCGTCATCGGCTGAATGCGCATGCACAGTAAGAGCCGCGCGCATTTAGCCAGTCTCATAGGAAAGCAATCTCAATGCTTTCCTATGGACTCTGGCGTCTTCTCACTGTGAAAATCACAGTGAGAAGCGCGGAAGCGCCTCTAGCGGCTGTCAATGAGACAGCCACTAGAGGCTGGATTAACCCATAGGTAAACATAGCAGTTTCTCTGAAACTGCTATGTTTACAGCAGAAAGGGTTAACCCTAGCTGGACCTGGCACCCAGACCACTTCATTAAGCTGAAGTGGTCTGGGTGCCTGTAGTGGTCCTTTAAGAGAGGTGACTAGTGGGCATCCAGGTAATAAGTCAAAACATTCTAAAAATAGTTTCACTATACTTACATTGGGTTTGGGGGGATAGAGGGTGTGCAGGGCACTCTTTGCACCATAACCACTTCAACAATCACATCATTGAGATGAACCTTTCGATTTACATCCTGACAACCCTTTTGTTGACATGTTGCACATGTGTTTTGTTATATGATATTCAGAATCAACTAATATTCTGCTGTATGGCCTCACTGTGTTGACATTTTCTGTATTTCCCCTTTCTTCAATAAATAAATAAATAAAAATCTGTTTTTACATCTCCCGCATTTTTGCTACTGTTGCTTTATTTACTCAGGCCAGTGAACTTTATTAGCAGCCACTCAAACAGATGGTCCTATGGAGCTGCTTGTGGAGCAACTGCGACTACAGTGTTTCTCTTGTTTTTCAATAAGTATTCAGGCTACTTCCACTTTAAGACTCCTACTTGGGCTCAAGGTCAGTCACTTCTTTTTCCCATTGTAACAGTTGGCACATTCTAAGGATTGTCATCTATTTAAAATGGCTCTGTGATTGGCTAACACTATTTTTTTTTTCGGTTTCCCCCCAGTTCTTTGTTTCCTAACCGTCCCTCCCACCCCAACTTTTTTAGTTCTTCGTCCATTTTTACTTTATTTAATTCTTCGATAGCAGTGTCAGATCTCTTTCCAATCCACTGCCATGTTCTGGAACCTTACAGTGATGTATAGTCACTGCCTTCATTTACCCTTTCTCTGCATTGCTTCTCTCATGCCCAGCACCCAGAAAATAAAATGACTAAGATGATTGTATAGTTCACGTGTAATGCTCGGGGAGGGACAAAGCAATATGTGTGTGCTTATACAGGCAAGGGATGCGACAAGCAGGTAAGTATGGGAAAATGGGACTTGACAAGGGAAGCGGAACTTGCCTTAAACCCCTTAAGGACACAACTTCTGGAATAAAAGGGAATCGTGACGGAATATTTCCATCATGTGTCCTTAAAGGACCACTCTAGGCACCCAGACCACTTCAGCTTAATGAAGTGGTCTGGGTGCCAGGTCCCTCTAGGATTAACCCTTTTTTTTTAAATAAACATAGCAGTTTCAGAGAAACTGCTATGTTTATATTAGGGTTAATCCAGCCTCTAGTGGCTGTCTCTTGACAGCCGCTAGAGGCGCTTGCATGCTTCTCACTGTGAAAATCACAGTGAGAAGACGCCAGCGTCCATAGGAAAGCATTGTAAATGCTTTCCTATGAGACGGGCTGAATGCGCGCGCAGCCAGCCGAAGAGGAGGATCGGAGGCGGAGAGGAGGAGGAGAGCTCCCCGCCCTGCGCTGTAGAAAGGTAAGTTTAACCCCTTTCCTCTCCCTACACAATACTCTCCCTAAAACAAATACTTTTAAAAGGCCAAACTTGCTTGTAATATATTGTTAAAAGGGATCTTATAGGCATCAAATCAAATTCAGCTTAATGGAGCAGTTTTGGTATATAGATCATATAGATCATGCCTTTACAGTCTCACTGCGAAATTCTCTGCCATTTGGGACTTATATCACTTTTCAGATGCTTACTTTAGAAGTTTTATCTCCTTCTCTGTTTATTGAACTTTAACCATATACAAAAGATTCCTGCATGGACCAAAAGGCTATTATTAGAGCAGGAGATGCACAATTCTAAAATAAACAAAATGTGCAATAAAGGAAGTGTAAACATTAGATCTCTCTTTACAGGAAGTGTTTAGGAAGGCTGTGTAAGTCACATGCAGGGAGGTGGGATAAGAGCTGCATAAACAAAGTGATTTATCTCCTAAATGGAAGGGAACTGAGCAGTGACACTACAGGGCATGATCCATACAACAAAACTACTTGTCACGATAGTGTCCCCTTCTCACAGAGTATAACCCAGAGGAGAACATATACCGGACCTTAGAATGGCCGGACTAACGTTTAGAGTAGTCAAAGAGATATCCAGAGATCAAGGGAGTATAGAAGACAGATAAACGATATAACCTAGCCAAAATACGGGGAACCAGAGAGCAGAATAGTCAAAATGGAAAGCCAAAAGTAAATTACCAGGAAACAAACACTCAAGAAGTTAATAAGCACTAGAGGAACCAACAGGAACCACACAAGGGCGCCTTACAACTGACAGGGACACCCTTTTATAGTGTGGGGTTTATTGCTTTAAAACCACGCCCCCAAAAGGTCCGGGGGTGGGGCCGCGTGTGAATTACGTCAGCATTTACTTGCTGACCATGGCGCACATGCGCCGTATTATAAATGAGTGAGCGTTGTGAGCGGCCGGTGTCAGAAGGGCTGTGACGCTCACCGGAAAAGGACGCCGTGCTGCGCGGGTCCGAGGAGGAAAGGTAAGTTATCGTTACACTACTTCATAGAGGTAAAGTCATTCTGGTGCCTATAGTGTCCCTTTAATGTCTGCACACATTGGCACTATTTCCTGTATTTTGCCTTTGTAAAAAAAAAATATATATATATAAAAAATCTTATATCCAAATTATCCACTGATCCTATACGACCAACCATTTATCCTTTAATTGTCTTTTATAGTACTTACCTAAATTACCACCTGTTTTGAGTCTTAGTCTACCATATAATTTATCAGATTTTTTAAAAAGAGGTCATACATTTTTTAGCTGTTAAATCAAAGACTAACATGAAAATTGCAAGCATTTTATGAGTTATCACTTTAGCAAAATGGTGGACATAAAAATATTGAAAACAATGATAATATTAAAAACTTCTAATTGTTGTTTAATTGTCGTTTTGCATGATTGCTCCCTAAGCTGTTCATTATTACATTTTCTGACTTTTTTGTTGGGGGTTGTCTATTAGCTCTCGTTTATCTTCTCTCTGCGCTGGAGGTTGGCATGGACTATTATCCTTTCTTTGCATGTCTATCATCAAACCATAAACTGATTGCTTCGTCTCTGGGATTTTGCTATGCACTGAGCTGGTAAGTGAGAAGCCTATAGAAAAATGGCACTCCCCTTAAATAAACAGACGTGTGCAATAGGTGCAGTAAATGTGATACCATAATTCGTATCAACATTCAACAAGAATAAATACATTGATCAACCCTATTCTTTGGATAATGTATTGGATAATATATCCAACGTGATGTCATTCTTTAGAAACAGTCTTCTAGGGCCAATGTAAACAGAGAACAGGTTGAGTTAATTCTAACCATCAGGCAGCAGTGACAGCAACTGTTATACAAAACCGTCCTCAAAACAGAAGTAGTCCTTTCTCTTTAGAGCACTTATACAGTTGAAATATCTCTTTGTAGCAGATGTCCCTCTCACTCGTCCAGTATATAGTCCCGATCAGCAATCCAGTTCAGCCTATGGATTCTAGAATACAGTCTCTCCAGCTGTTTAATCTTCCAGCTGGAACAAATCTGTTTAGAACCCAAAAATAAAAGAAAAATGTTTATCACTCATCAACAGGTGAAAAAGAACTCCAGATTCATTAAGATCCCTACAGCAAGCTGAACAATGAATAATTTCGGTCTAGCAATAGGCCTTCCTCAAACTGAGAAACACCTATTGTTAGGTCATGGTTAAACATTGTACAGATTGCTTTGGGGAACTCAATAAACCTGGAGTGCTTCATCACCTGTTGATGTGTTTTGTCTTTTTAGATTCTAGTTATATTGGTAGTGGAGCCAGAGCCCGTTTACAAACCTTTAAGGATTGAGTACATATGTATGAGTGGGTTCTGATGACACTTGTTTGTATGACTACAGGCGTTCTTTTTAAAACTGTAACTAAATTATTTACAACTCAAAGCCAGGTCTGGATTCTAAACCGTTCACATGGCTTTTGGAGTACCTTCCTGTTCTCTAGATACTCTGCCTTACATACTCTAGAACAGATTATATGGATACCAGTCTAGTTCCGTAGGTACTGCATTGAGTCAGTGTGTTCATAGTATCAAACTGATTCTAGCATTATACTTTTTGTCTGCAGGTTCTGTGTACAGGTTGCAGATGTGTTTGAATGCCGTCAGATATCTGATGTGAGTATATATTTATTGGGATTGGGTGATAATTGTAACAAGTAAAGCACGAGGCAGACAGTGACTTTGTTCCGTCATGTACCACCATTTCTTTAGAGTCATTACGAAATATCATATAATGATGATATCTCAGCTCCTATTACATTGAGAACAGAAGATTATCATGATGCCACATTGCTTTTAGAAGATGGTAGAGTCAATGAACTTCAAGCCACATGGTTTTAGCTGCCTTGTAACACACTCTGCTTGGTTAACCCCACAAAAACAGTGTCTATATTTCATTGCATCAAACTCACTGAACTGTTTAATATTGTTTTTCTGGGTCTTTGTGAATTCTTAGATGTCTCATGAATCATTTCAGAAATCACTCATATTAATCATCACTCCTATCCCATCGCTGGTCTCCTGTCTCTTTCTGATGGGAAAATTTTTGCACACGCTGGTGAATGCGATTCGCCTTCTTTATAGATCTGAAAAAGAGCAGGTGAGTGTCTGGAGGCATTTAAATGAGCATAAGATGCATGGGGTTGCCATACAGAAGAGGCCTGCAATGATTAGAACTGTGGAAGAGTCTAGATGAGACTGACTGGAGTTGTGTTCCATATAATCTGCTTAACTAGTGGTTGCCTCACTATCTCATAACATCAAATGCATGCTTTAACTCCACCAGCCTCAGACAGTCTATTCGATAAAATCTACATTTCCTAAAGAGAGGCTTGTGGGTATTTTCCCTTTATGAAGGGTAGAGCTCCAAAGCCAGAACCAATTTGGTTTTTCTTAATCAGGGAGTTCAATTGCCAGAGAGCCTGACAGCTATAGGTTTGACACTGTGTGTGTAACTCACCCAGGTGTGGGCAGCCTGTCCAATGTATCTGGGGTTAGAATGATGTATCTGCTGCCATTAGATGCAAAAGTTGCCTAAAACTGATATTCTTAGCCAGGAAGAGTGTAGTCCAGCTGTCTGATTGACAGCACAGGGATACAGCCCCACATACAGGAAAAAAATCATATTTATATCTGGAATGAAAAATATTTATAAAGAAAGTCTGCAGAGACTACGTCATCGAACCTTTGCCACTTCATTAAGATAAAGTGGTTATAGTGATTATTGTCACCCTTTAAAGGTGACGCTGTTCTATGCAGAAATGTTATTGCAATCAATCAATCAGTGCATTACCTTCTTTCCATTCAATGGAACACAAATCATAATTGAATAATTAAAAAAAAAACATTTTTTCAAATACGAGATATAGAGAAGGCTGTGCTACCGCTGAACATTTTGAGTCCCAGGAAACATACAGCCTGGTAATCACTGGTTTAAATCACTTGAATCCAGATACATGACAGCCCTCCTCTTTTTAGGAAGTTTTCTAGCAAAATCCCTTGGGAGTTAGACAAGAATCCATTGGGCTAAGGAACTGTGTTTGTTTATGTGATCACACAGGCAGATAACTCAAAGCTGAATTATTTTAAATAGTTTTTTCATATTTAGAGTTTCACAAGCATTTTGCATCGTTATTCATTTATTATGTTATAATAACTGCCAATTAATATCAAACAGGACAATGAGGAGCCTTTGTTACCAAACCATCTATCAAGCTACGTTAGACATCTCCTAAAACCTGCGCCAGAAAAGTGAGTTTATCCTTTCTTTTACAGCATCATTTATCAGCTAAATTAAATGTTATACTTGTCAAAATGAAATATCACAACAAAACCTGTAATGTTGTAACTAATTAGGTTTCATTTAACCTTGAGTGCTTAAACTAGAGAATTGTGTAATACTTTTTATTGGGCAATGAGTATTTTAGAATGGTGAGCTTTTTGCTCATTCGATAAAAAAAATATCACAACATGTAGTAATGCTCTGTTATCTTGCAAGACAGACAGCTGTATAGATTGAATGGTATGCACCATCCAGACAGATTAAAGTATATTCCTTGGTCAAAACCATCTGTGTAATGCAGAAGGTATCTGATAATGGAACCCATAGAAATGTGGCTTAGACTGCAAAGTGACACAGTGGGTGTTAATATGACGATTAATACATGGTATTCTGAGAGAGTGTTAGAAATATCATAGTCGCCAATATCTGTTTGTTTGTTTTCTAAATCTGTTTTTCAGTTTGCAATGTTTTGGGACTTTTTCTTTTTTGTCTTTTTTTATCCTTCTTTTTTTGTTAAAATATTTAGGGGTTGGTTTGTGTGTACGATTTATTCAAAATATAATTATGCATAAATGTACTATACTCTTCCTTATGTTCACATCAAAGCATAATTAAAATAATTATATGAATAAAAACTAAAGAGCTGAATACAATTAAAATGTAGATATATTGCCACACAAACATTTTCTAAAAAGCAGACTGTGAATATATAGGCCTTTTATGGCAGAAAATTGTCCTGCTTATTATTTAGTGAATTGGTGTTGTCTAATACACGGTAATACACAGTAATCACCATCTGTTGTATGTTTCAACTCCTATTATCACACAGACAACCTACTCCAAGCTCCTGGATTGGACAGAAGATGTATGTTTGGGATCCATACTTTAAATTCCCTACAAGAATGATAGTCACAGCCGTGCTATGCGTGATCTGCTTGTACAATGTAAGTCACATCATGTGAATATGTAACAACTGTCAAACAGTAGAAAATGTGATTTTGTTCATCAAATCTTTGTCACTAGGTCATATTTTTTAATAACTGTAGAATCAAGAGCCCACTGTTCAAGGAAATGTGCAAGGGTCTTCAAGAGCTTACAGACAGGCATGTACAATATTCTAAACAATGAACATTCGCCTTAAAACAGCAACGCCGATCTGTCATTTATTTTTATTTTTGTTTTTCTTTTCTTAAGCCCCCTTTACCTTAATGATAAAACTGACTCCCTTGAAACGTGCCTTAATTTATAATTTTTTTATCTTTTGTACATGGGCGCAGCCATTTTGTCTCTGGCCACAATACCTGCTGTTTTCCTTTTTGTGGGATTCATGTTTATGGTTGTTTTAAGCTCTGTCTATTGCAAGGTTTTGTCAACTTGACTGCTACTTTTCTTTATGGATTTTATGAAAACTAGTGCACTCTGGGAAAAAAATAAATAAAGAGTGATTCAGACATAGGAAGCTATATAGAAACAGAATAAATTAAGTTTAGTTTTGGTGACAAGGTCGCTGTAAAAAAGGGTCATCCATAAAATGTTTTTGCCATTAATTGTTGTTTTCCCTAATTAAATATATTTGATGTCACTATAGAACCTACTTGGGTGGTTTGCCCTAGTGTATATCCCTGATTTTGAATACAAATACTCCAATAAAAAAAAAAAAAAAGGAAAATGCCGCATCACACCAAATGGTTTTGTTGTTAGTTATCCAAATACTTTCTTCCTGGACTGTTTGAAGTAATGGTCTCAATCGGTGCAGATATCACTACTGAAATCGTGGGCTTTTTCATCTTATCTGAGCTGAGTGTAAGATATAGCCATGGATCCTGCGTCCTTATTCTTTATACACAATGAGATTCTTGAGTGCCATCATCTTCAACTCTACTGTATCAAGAGTTTCCTTCCAAAGTTGTTATACTGTAACTTCTGTTGAAAGAAAAAGAAAAAAATACAAACGCAAGAAATACAAATGTGCCTAACCAACACAGTGGTAGGAATATGCACGGGTACTTAACTTGGTATGAGATGAATGCAGCTTCCCAAGAGGTTTCCCCCAAACGAACCTCAAATGCAGATATGTAAATGGACAAAATAGGGATACAGCTGAATGAAAAATAGTGATGGATAATGCGCCTTTAAGCCCTCAAGGGCTGCAGTGGTATTCACCCTCCACGAATAGGTTGCTCTGTCTTCAAAGAAGTGGGAGTATGCCAGTGAAGTATAAAATTTTTTTATTATTATTATTAAAAGGCACTAATAAGCCTATATCAAAAAATCAATAGTTAAAAGTATACAAATAATACTGCATCTAACGCGTTTCGTCCATACAAATTGGACTTCATCAGAGAGAATTTTTTGCAGTATACACAATATGTGAAATACAAAGCATGCATAATCCCACCCCCAACAGAGTCCCTTAAATATAACCAGTCCTATTGTTGATTGGAGAGTTCCTTTGTAGGCAGTCCCTCTTCAATAAAATCAATATTTTCCAGGTGATCGCCACCTTAAAATTCGCGGCTAAGACCAGCTGGTAATCCGTCCGGTAATGTTCTGCGTTCCAAATCACAACTTCCGGTTGCGTTCCACACATGGATTTCCGGCGGCGAAATAACCACGCATGTCACAACCACTGACGTTGCATTCCAAGATCGGGCCCATGCGTTCCAAACGACCGGCCCTTTGAATTGCTAAGAAGACTAAAAGGAGCAGTCTTAGAATAATTTGAACATCAAAATAACCATTCTCATAATACAAATTCGACCACATCAAATTTGAAAAAGGACTTCAATCCTCTGCCACAAAGTAACTAAATATTAATAGAAATCTATTAATAATGAAAAAAGTGAATAATGTGTACAAAACAATAAAGAATAAAATAAAATAAAATAAAATAAATAAATGAATAAATGAAAAAAAATGTATATATAATAAAGTAAAATAAAAATAAAAATAAAAGTGAAAATAAAAATAAAAATAAAATAAAAATAAAAATAAATAAAAAAATGAAAATAAAAATAAAAATAAAAATAGAAAAATAAATGAAAATTAATAAAAATTAGAAAAATATATATTAAATATATGTAATTAAATATAAAACAGGCAGAAGATGGAAATCCCCAATTGTGTAAGTTATAAAAACTTTAAACCATAAAGCTAGCCAAGTCCACATCGATGTTTAAACCTTTAGGTGACAGAGTGTCCAAATGGTAGATCCAATAGGTCTCCCGTTGTGCTAATTTCAATTCCCTATTACCTCCTCTCCAGTGAGGGGACACATGTTCTATACCACAGCCCTTGAAATCTCTCCAATTGAAGGCCTGGCACGTATTACAGTGAACTGGCACTGAATGAGTAGTCATACCTTTCTTTATATTGTTTATATGTTCCATAAGACGTACTTTCAAGGGTCTCTTAGTCTTTCCCACGTACTGCTTGCCACACGGACACTGCAGTAAATAAACCACAAAGTCCGTGTGGCAACCAATACTAGATTTCACTGGAAAAGAAATCCCGGTGGTGTAACTTGTAAATTGTAAAGTTAAACCTAAGTTCATCCTTGAACAAGCCCGACACATCTGACATCCTTTGGATCCCTTCATATGGGTGATAACTTTTTTTCCGGGTATATCCTTTCTGGGGTAACTTGGAGCAATTAAATCTTTTAGATTTTGACCCTTCCTATAAATAATAGATGGACAGTCAGGTAGAATATTACAAAGGACTGAATCCTGTAATAATATAGGCCAATATTTCTTAAGGCACTTATTGATTTTCCAATGGTCAGTATTGTATTTTGTTATAAATGAATATCTAAAATGATCATTTGAATCATTCTTTGGATGGTTAGTCAATAATTCCCTTCTATCTTTTTTCTTGAGTGTTCTAATTTCCTTTTCAATCATATTGCTATCATAACCTTTATTTACCAATTTGTTTTTTATATATTTTGCCTGAATTTCAAAATCTCGAACATTGGAGCAGTTCCTACGTACCCTTGTTAACTGGCTTTTAGCAATACCTCTCAGCCAAGGTTGATGGTGACAACTTGACTTATGAACATAACTATTTCCGTCTGTTGTTTTAAAAAAGCATCTAGATCTAATTTTATTCTGCTCACAATACAAATTCAGATCTAAAAAATTTATGGTATCTTTATGCCACTCAGGTGTAAATTTTAAATTAAAGGGATTTAAATTAAGGTATTGTACAAATGATAAAAAATCTTCTTGAGTGCCTTTCCAGATAACAATCACGTCATCAATAAATCTCCGCCATAGGACCAGGCTCGCCCGCCAATCATGCCCGCACCACACAAAAAGATCTTCCCATCTTCGCATGTAGATGTTGGCATAACTGGGGGCGAACCTGGTTCCCATGGCGGTCCCTGTTAGTTGTAAATAAAATTTACCCTCATGAAAAAAATAATTATGTTCAAGTATAAATTTTATGGCCATTAAAATAAAATTTTGCAAAGCATCATCTACCTCTGAATCATTTTTAATAAAAAATTGGACTGCTTCGATACCCAATTGGTGATGGATCACAGTGTACAATGATGTTACATCCAATGTTGCCCAACTGTAATCATCTTTCCAATCGATATCCTCAAATTCATGTAGAATTGCTGTGGTATCTTTAATATATGAAGGGGCACTCTGGGCATATTTCTGAAGTCTTGAATCAATAAAGGCTGAGAGATTTGCTGTAATGGAGTTAATGCCACTAATGATCGGGCGTCCAGGTGGAAAAAATTAATTCTTATGGAGTTTTGGTAAAAAATAAAAAATAGGAATGACAGGAAAAGTATTATACAAAAATGGAAAAAAATTTTTAGATATTATTTTATTCTCCAGGGCTCCCAACAATAAACTTTTGAATAGGGAATTAAACATTTGTGTTGGATCTCTTGGAAGTTCCACATATGTCTCTATTTGACCTAGGATGTTGAGGGATTCTTGATGGTAATATTCTGTAGATAAAATGACAATCCCCCCCCCTTTGTCGGCCTCCCTTATAACTATATCTTCCCTTTCCATTAAATTTTTTAGACACATGGATTCCTCCTTTGTCATATTATAATTCTTTTGTTGATTGCTCCTAATCTTTCTGAAATCTTGACAAACCATATTTTCAAAAGTTTCAAGATGAGAACCTTTACTTTGGACAGGATAAAATTTAGACTTTGGCTTAAAATTCGTAAAGCCATTGTCTACACCCAAATGAACCCTGGAATCGATAGGAGGATTAGATGAACACACATTATAATTGGTTCCAAAATTCGTAGGGGTATTGATCACTGACGATGGACAAGAATTCTTTGCGAAATGGCGTTTAACTGTTAATGTTCTTATAAATTTTTTTAAATCTATAAATAAAGTGAACTCATCCGCTGTTCGTGCAGGGGCAAATTTAAGACCACGTTTTAGTACATTTATTTCTAATTCAGTTAATGGTGTCTGTGATAAATTAAATATACCTACATTACGTTCTTTTAATGGGAAGATCTCTCCCTCCTGGAATGGTTTGGAGGTTCTTCCTCCATTTTCATTCTTTTTTGGGGAGTTTTTGTTCGAAGTGGAGAATATCGGTTTGGATGTGCCCAAGATGTTTTTCGTGGTAAAAAATAATCCGTTATCCGTTGTTCTTTTTGTGTCTGACTTCTCTCTAAAAAATTATCATTGCTTAAAAGAGGAGTTCTCTCTCTACAATAAGTTTTCTCTCTAGTTACATCCGCATAGGATCTCCTATTAGTGCTATCATTTATATCTCCATTTCTTTTTGGTGATTTTTTATCACTAATAGTTCTCCTCCCTAGGGGAGACCTATAAGAACGTGAATTTCTTTCATTTGGCCACACCTTATTTGTTTGTGATATTCTCTGTGTTCTATATAATTCCCTATCTTCATCCTTTGATCTCAATTTATATTGATTAGTACCAGTGAAATTCCTATTAATTGTTTTCTGAACTTCAAATCTATTATAAGTAGGTGTTTTGGCAAATCGTCTTCTGCGTGACATTTTATTAACTGTAGAAAAACATTATTGTATTTATCTTCTTTATCTCTCCTATATATTTTTACTCTTTGTCTCCGCAATTTTTTCGTCTAGTTCTTTCAATTTGTTATTTAATTCCTCCTCATGTTGAATAAGTTCTGGACTATCTAAATCTAGTGATTGTTTCTCATCTAATTCATGTAGTTGCACCTCAAGATTAGCTTTCATTTCTTTAGAATATTGAATGATGAGTTCCATGAGCTGGAAAGAACAATTGTTTAAAATTTCATCCCATTTTTTCATGAAAACATCATTCTCCATACCAAAAGCTGGTGTTTTTTCCACTCTCAGACCTCTCGGTATAAGGCCCTCTTTAATATAATTTTCTAAGAAAGCTATCTCCCACCATTTTTTATTCTCATTGATTAACAATCTTTCTTTAGTTTTAAAATAGTCCTCTAACTTTCTGATTGGCTCAGGTTTTTCCCAATCATTAAATAAAGCTTCAAATTTTTGTGATCTGGCTCTTTGAACCCTGGACAAAAAATTTCCAGCGGTCGCCATATAATCACACAATGTACAATATACAGAGATGACAAAATGTATAAATTTATACTGAACAAAGATATAAATTTATACTGAACAAAGATATGTAGCACACAATATCGGGGGTACAAATATGTTGAAAGAAAAAGAAAAAAATACAAACGCAAGAAATACAAATGTACCTAACCAACACAGTGGTAGGAATATACGCGAGTACTTAACTTGGTATGAGATGAATGCAGCTTCCCAAGAGGTTTCCCCCAAACGAACCTATTTTGATGTTCAAATTATTCTAAGACTGCTCCTTTTAGTCTTCTTAGCAATTCAAAGGGCCGGTCGTTTGGAACGCATGGGCCCGATCTTGGAATGCAACGTCAGTGGTTGTGACGTGCGTGGTTATTTCGCCGCCGGAAATCCATGTGTGGAACGCAACCGGAAGTTGTGATTTGGAACGCAGAACATTACCGGACGGATTACCAGCTGGTCTTAGCCGCGAATTTTAAGGTGGCGATCACCTGGAAAATATTGATTTTATTGAAGAGGGACTGCCTACAAAGGAACTCTCCAATCAACAATCGGACTGGTTATATTTAAGGGACTCTGTTGGGGGTGGGATTATGCATGCTTTGTATTTGACATATTGTGTATACTGCAAAAAATTCTCTCTGATGAAGTCCAATTTGTATGGACGAAACGCGTTAGATGCAGTATTATTTGTATACTTTTAACTATTGATTTTTTGATATAGGCTTATTAGTGCCTTTTAATAATAATAATAAAAAAATTTTTATACTTCACTGGCATACTCCCACTTCTTTGAAGACAGAGCAACCTATTCGTGGAGGGTGAATACCACTGCAGCCCTTGAGGGCTTAAAGGCGCATTATCCATCACTATTTTTCATTCAGCTGTATCCCTATTTTGTCCATTTACATACTGTAACTTCTGTCTAAAGCTTTTCATCAAAGACTTTCCTAAACCCAGTTATTACATAGGACAGACTATCTGTATAACACAGTTCTAGCACAGAGATCTAAAAGTAAAACACATGACACAGTTATTTGTTTCTATGGTTATTACTCCAATGTGTACCACAGTTACTCTGAATACAGTACAGTTCATCTGACAAGTATTCAGCATGCACAGCTCCTCTTTGGACACAGCGCATCACAGCACACGGAGCATTTTATTGTACACAGCACAACTCCGCAAACACATAGCTTCTCCATACAGACACCACACAACAAACAGGGCCTCTATGCACACACACTGGTTCTCAGCATACATAGGGTCATTACGCCTCTCTTTTCCCAACAATTAGACCACTGGTCTCCTGATTTTGCTGAAAATCACATATTCACCCATTCCTTAACTTTTCAGAGCCCAGTGAAAAACAAGCACTTGAAAACAAATACAAAAACTGAACGAGTGGACTACGGCAGGGGCCCTACCTAGTCCTCAATGTACACCAACAACCAAGATTTTGTCATGGATTGTTGTTGTGCACTGGAACTGTGTTTCAAACTATTGGTCTAGCCCAGCGGTTCCCAAACTGTGGGCTGCGGTGCCCTGGGGCGCTGCGTCGTGCACACAAGGGTGCCGTGGAATATTTCACTGGTGCTATGATTATAGCACCGGGGAACATTACTGCTCAACAGGGACCCGGTCGAGTGCCGCGGTCCTTTAAGACCGCGACCGGGCCCCTGTAATGTTGGCCGGCTACTTCCTCCCAGCATCCTGCATGGAGACAGTGCGGGAGGGAGAGGAGACAGCCGTAGTGTGAGGGGAGAGGAGCATGAAGAGCTCCAGACCCCTCACTCCCACAGCAGCAGGACTCCAAGCCACCGTCCTGGCACATAAGGTAAACTAACGGAGGGTGGCTGGAGATATTAAAGAAAAATCACTTTTGTGTGAGTGTGTGTGTATGAGTGTGTGTATGTGTGTAAGTATGTGTGTTTGTGAATGTGAGTGTTTGTATGTGTATGTGTATGAGTGTGTGTGTATATATATGTCAGTGTGCTTCTGTGTCTGTGTGCACGCACATATCTGTGTTTGTGCATCTGTGTGTCAGGGTGTGTGTTTTTAATGTCAGTGTTTATCTGTGTCATGGTGTGGGCATGTATCAATGTTTGTGTGTGTCAGGGTGCATGTGTTTATATGTCGGTGTGTATTTATGTGTGTGTATGTGTCGGTGTGTATCTATATGTGTGTATGTGTCTATATGAATTTATGTGTACGTGTCTGTGTATTTATATGCATCTGTGTGTTAACGTGCATGTCAAGCCGTCAAACACCAGCACAACATACAAGCACACTTCTGCAATCTAACACAAATATTACATACAAGCACACCCCTGCATTCAAACATAAAAATATACAAACACACCCCTTCACACAAACACAAATACTTCACAGAAATGTACATCCACATTTAAAAGTGAACATTACATTCTGACACACCCCTGCAATCAAACGCAAACATCACATACAAACACACCCCTGTATTAAAACACAATAAATATATACAAGCACCCCTTCAAACACCCACACTGTACATTACACTATAGCGCCAGTAAATGCCGCAGCGCTGTACAGATATACAACCTAGAAATTTTGACTTGGAGTGCCTTGGAAAAATACTAAAATATTAAGGGCGCCTTGACCCTAAAAGGCATATTTAACATCGCTATTAGGCTATAGTGCTATCTATATTTTTCCATGACCGCTATTGGCCAAAAAAAATTATACACGTTTTCGACTACACAGTTGTAGATCAAGCACAGGTTTAATATAACTTTAATTGCCTTCTTTCTGGATTTCCTTCTAAATAAACCAGGCACCTTCTACCAGAACCCATTATAGTCTTCATTAATTTTCCATGCATTTTGTAATTTGTTCTACTGCTGCATTTTAGTGGTCCTTCTTTAAATTATCTCCAAATTCAGTTTGTTCTTCTAGATTTGTTTTTTGCACCCAAACTTGTGCAAGGACTTGATGATATGACGTTGGAAGCTGTGAACCTTACATATGCCAACCGAACAAAGATGTACTTACAAATATTACAAGGTCAGATGGCAAGCTCTGGCTGGCGGTTTATATATTGTGTTTCAATCATGGATTCTAATCTGATATATTAACACATTGTTTTGGCATTTCTTCAGATAATTGGTTTTATTCCACCTTCCCTTCCATCTTCACAAGTGCCATTTATATTGTTCACGTGCTCTCCTGCTACAGGTAACATGGCTATCATTTGCTGTACTTATTTTATAACAGTACAATCATCGTTAGAAAAATCATTTGTTTGACAATATTCTAAAACAAATTATTGTGAGAAAACGCATAAAAAACCAAACAATGCTTTGGCCTAAGATAATCATTTTTAAAATGTCTTCTTCTTTTGTCTGCAGGAACCAATTAAAGAAACTTTATAGAGGTACCTCGGAGGTGTCCTTTACAAATAGTCCCCCTGCTGTTCTGGTGAGTGCTGCATTTTACCATCCATCACTTAGCAAGCTTTAACCTGCATCTGTTATGGCCTTCGTTTGGGACATCAGTCCATGGCAGATCTTTGTTAATTCTTCTGATTAAAGCTTAAGTTTAACTTAAGTATTTATTTACCATTTTTGTGGTCAAGGTCGTATTTGAGAGTAACAGTGATATTTCTGAAAGGGTATTGGGATGTGGGCATTCACCAATGTATCGTCCAAGCCGCAAGTAGTATATCTAGTCATTGTATTCTAAGAATGAGGACAAAGAAGATCAGAGATCAATAAGAATTTGTTTTTGTTTTTCTTTAAAGGCAGAGTGTAAAAAAAAATAAGTGGGACATGAAAGCAATGGATAAGATGGAAATGTGATGCAGCAATACATCATGATTACCCATTTTTATTCCAATATTTCTGTTGTTCAAATGTCTAACTATATACTGTAACATTCCTCCTATTGAATCTATTGATAAAAGAAGTGTATGTTATCACACAAAAGGTTGCAACCAACAGGAAGTAGAGAATCCATCATAAAGTTGGCACCCGCTCGACTCTACCAGGGAGATTATTAAATATAATAAATATTGTCACTTTTCAGTTTTTCACAGAAAAAAAGACTCTAAACCTCATCCTGATTGCTTTGGAATGTTAACTAATTTCAATCAATCAAATGAGCTCATAAGACAAGATAGGGACTATGTTGTTGTATTGATGAGTAGTGATGTCCCTAACCGTTCGCCGAACGGGTCGCGAACGGTTCGCCACGAACGGTTCGCCACAGACTCATCATTGAGTAAACTTTGACCCTGTACCTCACAGTCAGCAGACACATTCCAGCCAATCAGCAGCAGACCCTCACTCCCAGACCCTCCCACCTCCTGGACAGCATTCATTGTGAAGCTGCATTCTTAGTGAGCTGTCCAGGAGGTGGGAGGGTCTGGGAGGGAGGGTCTGCTGCTGAATGTGTCTGTTGACTGTGAGGTACAGGGTCAAAGTTTACTCAATGATGAGTCCGTGGCGAACAGTTCGGGACATCACTATTGATGAGCATTTGACAAAATTTATCAAAATTTTGCCTTGCCCTTTTTCCTATGGTGAAATGGGAACATAAGTGAGTACTTGCTATACCGGGCAGTAGGTGAAATTGTACCATAAGTACATAGTTCAAGACCGTAGTATAAGTTCAGATAAGTACATAGCTCAGTCTACCTCTGTTCTTAGCACGTTTCTGTGCTAAGAACAGAGGTCCTATGACTTTGAAATAACCTTCTATAATTTTCTGCATTCATTTGAATCCCGCTGAGGTTCCTTCACTAAACCAAAACAAATACCAAAAGGTCTACTCTGGCCACTTTCTGTGTTTTTTAATTGTGGGAGTTTTTTCTTCACCAACTAATCATCCACATGGTGCACCCTCTACTCTTTAAATGGTCCATCTTCCACAAAAGACGCAATGTTTTTTCTTTCCTTTCGTTGTTCCTTATAATACGGGTTTTAAAATTCGTTTTTTAAAGTAAAGTTTTGTAATACACACATATTACTTGAAAAGAAGTTGAACGGTGAGCCAAGAATAAACCTGATTCTGGAGCAGAATGTGAATGTTGTAAAATGTTCTTTTATAGCGATGAACAATAGCGAATAAAAAGGAGGTTGAGATTACATTGTCATTAAAAAACAATTCAGATAAAGTGACTAACAGTGGAGAGCAAACAAGTTAGCCCTATTTCCTTGTTGAAGCATAGTATCAGGTTTGTGAAAGGCAAACACAGTAATATGGTATAAAGCATGTTATCACGCTGTATAAATAGCAGTGTTTTTGTATTAAAAGGAGTGTCACATGTTTTACCTTCGGTTGACTAATGTTACATTTAGTAATTTTTTTTGTTATTCTTGTTTCAGGCAGCTAGTATACGATACACAGGAAATCAGATCGCATACTTGCTATGGGGTAGGTGAAAGGCTTTTGTAAGCAGCGCTCTGATTAAATATTAACATGGAAATTACACCAATTCCAGCAAAGGCTATTGTAATACAAATAGGTACAACGCAAAGAATAACAATCCATCCACATGCTATCTACCCTATCCTATCCTATCCTATCCTCTATCCTCCTTTTCCATTATTTGTTATAATTAGACTTGAAGATCAGTTTTAGGCTGAACTGTGATTTAGCCAAATAAGTGCTATTCTGGTGATCAGCCAAATTCCTGAACTTTGAGCCGAAATGTACCCGAATCACAACCCAACGAATGTTGGCTTCCATGCCACTAACTCTTGGAGAGGCTTGGAGGCCAGCCTTCTGCTCACAGACTATGAGCCCAGTCCCAAGAGCTCCTAAAAGGGCTTATTGTCACTGTGGGCAAGGTATGGGGGTCTTGGATATATTCACCACTTTACAGGAGGTAGGCTCTCCAGATGGAAGAGGCACTATAAAAAGGGATGATTGATGGGAAAAACAGGAATAATGTTTACGGGACAGTCATTAAATGTTGATTTTATTCACGGATCAAGTGAGAAGTGCACAATATATGTTGTTGAAAGGCGTAGGCAGTGGCTGAGTGACAGGCAACAGAGGGTTGTAGTCAACAGAGTATATTCAAAGCATGGACTTGTCACCAGTGAGTTACCTCAGGGATCTGTACTTGGACCAATTCTCTTTAATATTTTTATTAGTGATATTGCAGAAGGTCTTGATGGTAAGGTATGTCTTTTTGCTGATGATACTAAGATATGTAACAGGGTTGATGTTCCAGGAGGGATAAGCCAAATGGCAAATGATTTAGGTAAACTAGAAAAATGGTCAGAATTGTGGCAACTGACATTTAATGTGGATAAGTGCAAGATAATGCATCTTGGACGTAAAAACCCAAGGGCAGAGTACAGAATATTTGATAGAGTCCTAACCTCAACATCTGAGGAAAGGGATTTAGGGGTGATTATTTCTGATGACTTAAAGGTAGGCAGACAATGTAATAGAGCAGCAGGAAATGCTAGCAGAATGCTTGGTTGTATAGGGAGAGGTATTAGCAGTAGAAAGAGGGATGTGCTCATGCCATTGTACAGAACACTGGTGAGACCTCACTTGGTGTATTGTACGCAGTACTGGAGACCGTATCTGCAGAAGGACATTGATACTTTAGAGAGACTTCAGAGAAGGGCTACTAAACTGGTTCATGGATTGCAGGATAAAACTTACCAGGAAAGGTTAAAGGATCTTAACATGTATAGCTTGGAGGAAAGACGAGACAGGGGGGATATGATAGAAACATTTAAATATATAAAGGGAATCAACACAGTAAAGGAGGAGACTATATTTAAAAGAAGAAAAACTACCACAACAAGAGGACATAGTCTTAAATTAGAGGGACAAAGGTTTAAAAATAATATCAGGAAGTATTACTTTACTGAGAGGGTAGTGGATGCATGGAATAGCCTTCCAGCTGAAGTGGTAGAGGTTAACACAGTAAAGGAGTTTAAGCATGCGTGGGATAGGCATAAGGCTATCCTAACTATAAGATAAGGCCAGGGACTAATGAAAGTATTTAGAAAATTGGGCAGACTAGATGGGCCGAATGGTTCTTATCTGCCGTCACATTCTGTTTCTATGTTAAGAATAGAAGGTAAAATGTATATATATTTATATATTAAGTTGAAGGTTGTTCTTGATCCTGTGAAAATCCCATAGGTGGACTGAAACTTTGATCTTTTTAACTATCTAAAATAAAGTATTTTGACTTTTAAGAGGACCATGAGTGCAGCCTAATCTCTTGATTGGTATATTTATATTTTGATATGTTAGGTATTTATTAATTATATAAGATTGTTTCTCACTGCTCCTCCTGTTTCCTTTTCTTTATTGATTACTTTTTATCGCTCGATCTGTGAACCAATGGCGATAAAATGCTCCTATCAATGTTCTGCAAAATAAATCATAATATTAATATTTTTTTTTGTGCCTTTTTTGTTCTTCTGATTCATTTCCTGAATTGTAAGCTCGGTTCCGAAAACCCATATTCAGGAATCCTAAATAATTGTGGTTCGGCCGAGCAGAATTGTTTTGTGCCGTGTCTAGATACAATCTTTCATTGTGTAGTACATATTTAATTCTATGAACTCTCTGCATGTGAGATCTGTGTTTCAATGTATAATATATGTTTTGCGATACATAATATAAGAGATTCTCCATCTAGTACAATGTAATAAAACACCTGAATTTAATCCCTAAAAACTCTTCATGCTAATAACTCTAATAATGCTTTTGGTTTTTAGGATATTTCCTTCTGCATATTATCTTCTTCCTCATTGGACTGATTATTTCATTTGTGTTCGTTATCCCAATAAATGAAGGAAATGGAATGATTGTTCTAGAAGGCTTGGGTTACACACTGTAAGAATCTCTATCTTATGATATTTGAAATATGTCTGTTCTGTCTATATTATAATCAAATTTTTTTAGATGCCAAATTGGCATTTAGAACATAAAAAAGATTTGTAAACATAGATTTGCAAGTAGAATCTGCATTGAATCAAGGCTTTCCTGTGGGTGCTTCGGTATCACGTGACTGAGTTTTACTAGTGCCAGGAAAGCACCTCTAGTGGCTGTCTAGTGCCACTACAGGGAAATTTAACCTTGCAATGTAAATATTACACCGGAGTGTTAAAAGGACAGGCGCACGGCACCCAAACCACTTCATTGAGAGGAAGTGGCCTGGTTGACTTTAGTCTTCCTTTGTTTGTTCATGCACTTATTATTTCCTGTATTGATTATTGCAGCCCACACATACTTAGTTTCAATCATGTTCAATTAACGCCTCAAAGTCCACAATGGATGCTGTTGTCATGTGTAACTGACAACAGGTGTAACCTTCGCTGCTTTGTCAGTCCTTAGTTAGCGTTTCTAATTCATTTTGGATGGAATCGAAAGTTCTAATGTTCATCTTCAAGGTACTGTACACTGTGCCCCAGTCTCCATATCCTCATTACTAATGGGGATACGCATTAAAGTCCAAATTGGGTCCAGATGGACAAAATTCATCTAAATAAGCACATTGTGACCTGATTTTCAATTCTAATATTTACTAAAGGGAAAGTCAGATATTTTAACAATATGAGCACATATCATTTGGTACCATGAAATATAAGATTCACATATTCATTAAACATCGAATTTTAACCAAATTCTTGTAATCTAGTAAAAGGCACATTAGCAAAATGAATTCATCAGCTCTTTTGCAGGTGATTGTACAGAAATTCACTGTTTGTCCACTGACAGCACAGCAGGCAAAGAATTAAAATATGTATAGAAGAAATTTAAATAACATTAACCTAATAAATACTATTTATAAATTATAATAATAAAATGTGCATTTTATAACCTAAATGTTTTTATTTTACTTATTGGAGTATAATATCATCTATGTAGTTATACCCTCTCCCCCTAGTGGTTAGTTATCAATATGGTGCTAAAGACAGATGTTTGCAATGCATTCACTTGTATTACAATTGTGTAAATTTAATTGAGTCATCGAGCATGCCCACAGACAGTTAATTCTGAGCAGGGGCATTTTGACCCCAAGTTCCATGGACAGAATAGGTTCCATGGACAGAGAGACAGAATAATGCGTCCAATTACAAATTTTGTGACAGTGTCCCTTTAATGTACCATATTTGCAGTTAAAGGGATACTGTAGTCACCAGAACAACTACAGCCTAAAAGGCAGTGTTTACATTACATCACTCAAACTGCCACTAGAGGTGCTTCCTATGTCAGTGCTGCACAGTGGGAAGCACTGGTGTTGAGCATCCTCACACTCTTCATGGAGACACTGAACATTATCCATAGAGATGCATTGATTTAATGCATCTCTATGAAGAGATGCTGACTGGCACAGGATGGTTTTTGCCGCGCATGCGCAATAGCCTCACAATGAAAGCATCGGAATGCCTGAGATCATCAAGTTTATAGGTCTCAGCCATGGAGTCGAAGCCAGATGCGGTGTGGGAGAAAAGGTGAGTAAAAACACCTTTAGACATCTCTGACAGGGTGGCTGGGGTTTAGTAGTAGGTTTAACACTACAATGTCAGGAATACAAGTTTGTGTTCCTGCCGCTGTAGTGTTCCTTTAAGTAATGTATACAGGACAGTGTGAGAGTATGGTGGGGGTACAGGGTTTTACTACATTGGGAGCAGGGTCAATACAGCATAATTGGGCTTATTAAAGTAATTATGGAGTTTATAAATATAGTGCCATTTAATACTCTGAACACAATCAAAGATTTATTGTCACAATATGATTTATAGAACAAGCTGCAATTACGGTTATACATAGGGTTGGTTGTAGCAGGCTCTTAATTCATTATATTTGGGAGGGCCATAAAATGTACCCTCAGGCTGTTCTAGAGTTTATGTCAATATATTTTCTTATGTTGCAGACTGGGGTTAGTACTGATTATGGCCATCACGTGTGCTCAGATACTGGCATCACAATTCTGGTTTCTTCAAGACAAACTCTCTCCAACGGACAAAGCCAAACCCCTGGCCATCAATAACAGGTATTCATTATTACAATGTTCATCAACAGACTTAGCTTCCAGGACCGTCAGGATGAATCGTTACCTTATTGCAGATCAGAAAATAGACACTGCATGTTAATATTCTTTATTAAATATCGTTCTAGAACTGTACACCAGGGAATTACATTAAATTGGACATCTATACTATAAAATTACATAATGACAATTTAAACCTCTGTCAGTCCCTACATTGGCTTCCCGTAAGATATAGGACTTAATTTAAGATACTGATAGTTGCTTATAAATCTCTACACGATGCTGCTCCAACCTTTTTATCCTCACTAATACACAAATATGTCCTGTGTAGGCCACTTCGCTCTGCCAAAGACCTACGTCTAATGTCTGTTCGTACTCCTACCTCTGATGCTCTCCTTAAAGACTTCTCTGGGGTTGCACCATTCCTATGGAACGACCTTCCCCTCTCTGTTAGACTCTCACCCAGTCTCAACACCTTCAAAAAATCTTTTAAACTTACTTTTTCCAGAAAGCATATCAATTAAACTGTGAACAACTTTTTCTAGCCGCACCCTGATTCGTCTCCTGCAACTGTCATCAAAACAACAGCTAGCCCTCAGTGAACACTATCCTAGCCACTTACTTTTCTACCCTACCCTTACCTTCTGTAGGGTCACTACACCCTACTCCCTCTAGCATGGGTAGCGCCCTCAACCCTTCTGTTTCTGTGTGTCCAACTCGTCTGGTTACAAATACTAATACGTGTCTGTTAGTTCACCTGTTGTACAGCACTGCGGAACCTGTTGGCTCTTTATTTGTAATAATAATAATAATGTATCATGCTGTAATGTGAAGAGTTATAACACAATGGGTGTTATTTACTAAATTTACAAAACATGGAATTGTAGTGAAATTTAAAAATGGATTGCACAATGCAGACAAAAATTGCTGAGCCGAGGCACTGAAAATGTTCTCAAAAAAACAATTTTTCCCAAATTTAGCAAATTTCACTTTATGCAAATTAAGTTCTGTATCGAGGGAATAACCTCCATTGTGTTATTATGATATAATATAAAATTTTTTTATATATATATATATATATATATATATATGTAGATTTGCACCATTTGTTGATTCAAGCAGATCTAAGTATGGTCTTATGAACGGAACACCATCCTTTCCTGCAATTTAAAGAAATACAATCCTGTGTTCCTAACGCTATAGTGTCCCCGTCCCTAATAATATTCAGGACCCCAGTTTGCACACACAAAAAATAAAATATCATTCATCTCATTATGTACTATGCATTAATATTTCTATGGTTCTGAACCTAGGAGAGCATTTCAGAACTTCAGCTATTTCTTCATGTTCTACTCTACTATCTTGGGTTTTGGAACTTGTCTAATAAGAGTCACGCTCAATGTTTTCCTGGGGAGCTGGTTATTGGCAAGAATTGATCGTCCCATCTTTCCGAGAGGCTATGAGGTTGCTGATATGGGTGAGTACCAATTTCTTTCAGAAATCTGATTTAGACAGCATGTGAGAAAACAAGAAAAACAGACAAAAAAGTTCACCTTACTCTCCGTTACTCTTTGATTTACCACAACAAGAGGACATAGTCTTAAATTAGAGGGACAAAGGTTTAAAAATAATATCAGGAAGTATTACTTTACTGAGAGGGTAGTGGATGCATGGAATAGCCTTCCAGCTGAAGTGGTAGAGGTTAACACAGTAAAGGAGTTTAAGCATGCGTGGGATAGGAATAAGGCTATCCTAACTATAAGATAAGGCTAGGGACTAATGAAAGTATTTAGAAAATTGGGCAGACTAGATGGGCTGAATGGTTTTTATCTGCCGTCACTTTCTATGTTTCTATGTTTCTATGATTTATCCTCAATCAGGTAGCGTATTTCCTCTGAAAGTGAAATTCAGAAACTCCAGATTACCATTTCAGCCTTCGTAACTCATGGTACAGTGAAATTAATCTCAACCAAGGACAATTAATATCCAGCACTCAGACATGTGGATACAATAAGTGTTAAGATAAATTGTGACTCTGTACTGCCTCATAGTGGTAGGTTAAGTTAAATACCAAATTATCCTGTTTCAACATAGAAACATAGAATGTGACGGCAGATAAGAACCAATCGGCCCATCTAGTCTGCCCAATTTTCTAAATACTTTCATTAGTCCCTGGCCTTATCTTATAGTTAGGATAGCCTTTTGCCTATCCCACGCATGCTTAAATTTCTTTACTGTGTTAACCTCTTTCAACATATCTCAATACAGAATGCACCTGTAGTTATGGTTGTTTATATTTCTTACCTGTTCTATATTAAATTTATATATGTGTATATTAATATTATTAATGCCATACTTGTGGGCCAGGACATATGTGAAAACTAGAGAAATCTCAATATATCCTTCCTTCTTCTATATTTAGTGTATATATAGGAGGCCATTAAAACATACTCACAATTGACCAATGAATGAACTCTTCCCTACAGTGGAATGTTGTGAAATATACAAAGAAATTAACTAAAGTGTGATAGACATTTCTCTTTGTAGCATTTAAAACATCTCTACGTCTTGTCGTACCATGCACAAGTCAACAGAAAATCCTTATCTCCCTGGAGGGCAAAGCCTCTAATGCACTATGTCTAATTATATATTTTATGGAATTATTTTCGTAGTAGTGAGTCTCGATGTATCTCTTGTTCTCCTGCAGGATACAGCACATGGGTTGGAATGCTCCAGGTTGACCTGTATCACACTCACCCTGTAATGCTGTCCTTCTGTCACTTTCTCCTACAAGATTCTGCTTCCAGAATGCAACAGTCCAGTCCAGGTACTTAGAATCCATCATTCTGTTACAGTTTAACTTAATGTATTTTGAAGAGGTTGATCCAATGACATTTATAACAGCCAGATTTCTTGTCCATTTACTACGTTGCCTTATGTGTAGGTAGCAAAGGATTAGGACAGAGGTCTCTTAAACGTTAACTAGCGGAGATGTCAAGTGTAAATGGATTGAGATGCTCAATAAACTTAATTTACTACCTGCATTTAAATTATATACAGCGGTGGGCATCAATTGTTTAACCCCATAAAGACCAGGGTGAGGGGGAGCCTAATGCGCATGCATGGCAAGTGCGGCTCGTGCATTAGAAAATCTCCATGTAATAGCATAGAATTAATGCTTCCCTCTCGGGATTTGCAAGACGCTGGACGTCCTCATGCAAACTTCAGAAAGCACCTATAGTGGCTCTCTGGGAGACAGACACTAGAGGCAGTTTTAACCCTGCAATGTAAACATAGAGTGCATTGTTTTAGATTGCACGTTTAAGGGGACAGGGCCACTGCACCCAGACCACTTCACTGAGTGCCTACCCACAGATCTCCGAAAGGGACTGTCTTTTACTTGGCTCCCCGAATCCACCTTGTAACCACTAATTAAACTGTAAAATAGTCCTAATGCATAAAGAGACTCTGTCACTTTGGCTTTTGTGGGTTTGCCATGTTTAAAAAATCACCCCTGGGCTGCCCCATTTTCTTTTTTTTTTGTAAGTGATACTTATTTTAAAAATTATATATAAGGAAAAGTAGATGGGGATTTTTGGTTACTGTCAATTCGAAGATGGCGGCACCGTAAAAGAACCCAGCAGCATAGGCACAGCGGGAAATAAAAGGTAAATTGCACTGGTTCTGGGGTCAATAAAGGTTGAGCAGGGGATCCTCGGGGATGGAGAGGGGTTTATAGAGACAGGAATCCATTGGCTTTGGGTTGGGGGGTGTTTAATGATGCTTTAAGAGAAATATCTGATCTGGCTGCAAATCTGTCTACATGCAGATAATACTATTGGTGTGTTTATTGTGACTCTATATAGAAACATAATCATAGAAGCATAGACTACTACTTAGTGTTAAAATGGCACCAGGAGACTCCTAATGCCTGCAATTACATGCGGATTGGCATTACACAACTTCTCAGGAGAAAAAACTCATACTACCTATTTTTAAATGTATTTACATTTTTAAATTCACTTGATTCTGACACCCACTAACATGATGCCTATAGTAGGCCATGCCTGGACATAAAATGTAAATTACATCTTATGTTCATCCTAATCACTGAAAAAGCTCACCCAGGCTGCATATAATGCCTATAGGCAGCACAGTCACTAATAATGCTTTATAAAACGTTTCGATTGGTTGTGTTTTAATTTCTCTGAAAGATATACATGAGACAGAGTAGGATATGTTCTCATATGTCAGTATTTGGCAATCGGCAGAGCTTCCACCTCCACATCTTACTATTCCCTATCAGTAGTGGTAGGTGGAGTGGTCTGGTGGGATCTTCGATATACTCTTTTTTTTGTACAGAAGCAAAAGCTCAATAGTGAAGCCAACTCCTAGCTGGTACAGCTCTCAGGAGATGAAGTAGCATGGCAATGAAAAGATGGCAGTCACAAGGAAGGGAAATTTAAGGTAAGTATATCGCTCTATCTACTTCCCCCAGGCCACCACCATACAAGTGGACAGATCACATCTGAGGTTCTTTGCAAAAATCAATGATATCACAAATTATTGTGGCACTGCAAGGAAAACTAACATTCCCTTATATGTTTTCGATCTAGGCTTTTTTGCAGCTTGATTCTCTAAAAGTGTTCACAGTATCTCGAGTTTTGCTAATTCTGGATATTTTTGTCGTACAGATGTGCTCCAGGACTGCAGGAAAAAACAAGGTCGGACAAAATGGCATCTGGCCTATACACTGATGAACAATCCAACATTGATCCTGAGCAGGAAGCAGAATAAATCCTCCTCTGTTCCCAACCCTGAAAGACAGTACGCACTAGAGAGGTTATTGATTTCGGCTGTACTTTCCCGCTATCAGACACAGACAGAACAGGACAACGGACACTTCACAGAAACAACTGGTCGGGAGCTATAAACTAGTGCTGGTTATACACTGAAGGACCATTTTTCTTGCTGAAACAACATAGTGATAAAAGAATCACACAAGGTGCTAAACTACCTACAAGAACTTTTACACCTCTACATATCATATCTTTTTAAACCAATCAGGATTGCCATCAAAGTGTTCGGTGGAGTGGAGACTACTTTGCTGGCCCTTGTTGGACTTGTGGCCCAGATAAGTGAAATTACTACCTTTTAAAACATCAATTTGACTGTGAGATAGACCTGGAAATAAAGACTTGCATTCTGAGTATATGAGGGACACAAAGCTTAAAACCTTCAACAAATTTAAATTGGGTCTTCAAGTTGTGGTCAAAGCTTTGAGGACTATACCATGACAGGTCAAGACATTCTGCCAAATGAGTCACCTATAACGTTTGTAACATTGGTCAATAAAAATTGTTGTTTTTTCAGTTCTGTAAACAAAGGTGCAAGATGTATATGGTTTGTTAGAAAAACATGGAATCCCCTGAGGATATTTCCGTGCATTCACAGTCAGCGAATAACCCGGTGGAATATGGAATTTATTGTATAGGTGTGGAAAAATTTGGAGGAATTTCAGCAAGGTCTAAGCATTGTTTAAAAATGGAAACTTAAGTTCATTAATTTTTGGCTTACTGTTTATAGTATCCTTCACGTGTTTCTTGTAAAGACAAGTATGTGTTTGTTTTGACCTCAGTGTTCCTAGACAAAATATACTCTTATGGTACCTATAAAAAGATGTATTTACATTGTAAAGAGAAATAGGGGAAAAAAAACATTAGGTACATTCCGTGAGGACACGAGTTATCCCCAACTATTAGATTTAGATATTTTTTCTGCCCCTCAACTTTGTCTACAATGTTGCTCTTCCACGGCCTCATTTTCCTTTACTCTGTCTTTCTCCAATCTAACCACCCCAACCCACCCCTCCGTGTCAGGAATTTTGATGACCATTTACTGAAGTCCTACAAGATGGATCCAGTTTGAGATTTAGCCACAAGAGGGAGATCTATTCTCAGAACTTTAATACTGGCCAGCTTGTTGTCACTGATTGTGTTCCTGGAAAGCTCATGTTCTGGGAAAATAAATGACCGAATAGCTGCACCTGTTCGGCCATAAATTTAATGTGGAAGGCAGAACTCTCTGCTATTTTATTCTAGACCATTAGTGTTTAGTAATTACTAAGCCTTGTGCTAGCTGCCGTTTTTGTAATCCCATCCGGTATCTTGTTACCTTGTGCTCTGATTTACTGAAGTGTTTACAGAATTGAGGACAAGTGTACATCTCATTTTGGCACCATGTTTGTTACCGGGATCCTGTTACCTCTGGAAATGGACATCAGATTATAAACTCTCTCACGTAACAATGGAACCCTCAGCAGGGAACAGTGAGGGGCACTTACCAGATGGGTGCTACAACAAACTGTCTACCATCACTGGATGTTAATAGGATCCATCCATTGCACCCCCTATTAATATCCACTGCCTCTGAAACAAAGAATAGCCTTCCCGTGCACCACTAGGGCAGTTCCTTCAATTCATCATTGCTACCATCATTTCCAAATTCATCTTATTAGTCACATTTCCAAATTCATACCCCTAGCCCTATTGTTCTAATTCATCTCCTCCAAGCCAGCAGCGCATCCCCATTGTACAATACTTTATCCTCACCTTTATCTCTTCTCTCCCCAGTCTCATTCCTCCACTATTGGGATCTCAAGCTCATTTTATCTTGGGGGCCATTGCCAAAGTTATATCCTCCCATGGAGGCCGCAGATCTGTACACCCAACTGCGCAACCACATACAGAGATCCACATCCACTGACGTGAGCACGCATACGGATACATACTCTCAAACACACACACAGATCTGTACACTCACACACACTTACAGATACATATTGCCAGGCACACACACACACACACACACTCTCTCTCTCCCTCCCTCCTTCCCCCACCACCTGCAGCATTAATACCACACAGGCACACACAGATCTGTACACTCACACACACTTACAGATACATATTGCCAGGCACACACACACACACACACTCTCTCTCTCTCCCTCCCTCCTTCCCCCACCACCTGCAGCATTAATACCACACAGGCACACACAGATCACTTATGGAAAATACCACAAATTTACAAGGGCTCAATGACATTTTGAAAAGGAGGATTTTTTTTTTATTCTTGCTGTACTTTCCTTGTGGGTTTGAAGCATAGTGTGCAGAAGAGCACAAAGGATATTATGACATGTAATGCACATCAGATGTGTGACGATCCTCAGTGCACAATACCATTTAGCCACCTAGGAAGGTGGGGGTGGAGGTGTAGCCGACAAATTAATTTCCTTACTGTCTGTATACACACACACACTGTCACCCCCACACACACTCTATCATCCCGATACACACACTGACACCCCGTCCATACAATATCACCATCCCCTATCACTGTCAGCCCCCACACACTGCCACACAGGTATATATATATGCATACAAGCGTATCATTTTTTTTTTAGTGGTGGGGAAGTGGGCGTGAGGGGGGGAAGTGCCTCTTGGGTGAGTTCCTACGCTTTTTTCCCCAGGACTTGACCCCTGATCTGTGTGAAAAAAAGTGTATCTGCAAATGCAGTGCATGTCAGTTTGTGTGCCTGGCAGTGCATATCGGTGTGTATGGCAATGCGTGCTTGTCTGTCTGGGGTGCATAGCTATATCTATTTGTGTCTTGGAATGTGTTTTTGTGTATGTGTATGTGGGAACGTGTGTGTTTCTTTGAGTACATGTAGATACTTGTGGACATGTGTCTGACTAGGGGGCCCAGAGATGGTTTTATAATGAGCCTCAAACTTTCTGATGGCAGCCCTGTGTGATTGAGCTGCAAGTTTCTTCCTCCCTGCAAACACAGGCCACAAGTAAAAGGGCCCGAAATGGCCCACGGGCCAGTAACTGAAGTCTCCTCATTTACTGTATGTATCTCCTACAGATTTCAACACCCCAGTACATCTACTCACTTCCCATGCAGCCTCCAGTGTGAGTGGGATTGTGACATCACAACCATAGTGTTCTGGGAGTCAGTCTGTGAATTTGGATCTGGCACACGGAACAGCTCTGACTGAGCACACGCAAAACACTGTTGCAAAAGCTATTTTGATGAGCTCCAACACTATGAATAGTAATATGATTTATGGTTCATATAATTCTTACAACACCGATGTTCCAGGCACAGTGCTGGGTCAATATGTGTATTCATTGTTGATCTAAACCAGGGGTGGCCAAATGGGGAAAGCCAGTTTTATGAATGGAAAATGGCATACCTCTCATCATCTCATATGGATAAAAAGGGATATTAAAATTTTAGGGTGTGTGACCAATTTACGGTGACCTAATAAGAACTATTTATGCAACTAAATGTAATTTAGAACAAGAACAATGTATCTTATTTACCAACACTGATTTCTAAACACATTATTTGTAGATCAAAGACACATAACACACAGATACAATATAGAGCTTATAGAAAAGAGAGACCTTAGGATAGAAAAAAGGGACAGAGTGGAACCATCGCCTAAATGGAACAGACGTGCATTTTCAGACCGACATACCAACTGATAATACCTCTCACTTTAACTGGATTTGGTCATAGACGATGTTGAGGAAATCGAAAAAGCACCGAGTGGACCCAGGTTCCTTGACATAGAAGCGCTGCTCTGACAGGCTCTGTGGCCTACCCAATGGAAGATGGCACCCAGAGAGACCCACTCAAGGCCTTGTCCGAAGACTATGGCATAGAGGATGATCCTGTGGCTCTATTACTACCATGGCTTGGTACATCTTACACACCATCCCAGGGTGGATAAGCCCCTTCTACAAAGGCAGATATCAAAGCTCTGCTGAAAGACATGCCATCCATGTTCCAGGCTGACAGGGCGGTTGCCAGGGAGGAAGTAACCACCCCGATGGGCTGCATAATGGTGGAGGAAGAAATGGGGAGCATCAGAGTTGCCGGAACAGCAACAGATGCCGCATTACAGGCATTACAGAAGAATTACACAGTGTTGCTCACTCAAGTGGACTCCATTGAGAATTATACTTGGGCCCAAAATATTCGTATCAGAGGGGTGCCAGAGAACATATTGTCTGCTGAACTCCCATGCTATCTGCGGCAACTCTTCAACTCACTTTTACCACCCGAACATGCCAAGCTGCTTGCACTAGAGGGGAGTATTAGATTGCCTAAGCCCACAAGGACACCCTAGGGGCCATACTGATTAAGCTTCTGAAAGACTCCGATCTGGTGGCACTTCAGGGGATCTCTGTCCTTGGCTTTTGGGTGATTCCTCTGGCCAATTACCAAACTGTTGCAGGAGAAGGAGATCGCCTATAATTGGGTTACTTGATGGCTCTTGGTAGACAGGTCAGTAAAAGAAAGATTCTTTATTTTGCTTAAATGTCTAAATAAATAAATAAAATCAGGCTTTGTGTTTTGTTATAGAGTTGTGCACAATTTAAGAAATCAATGAATGCTGTTAAGGCAATAGATCATACAAATACATTTCTAAGTATCATGAAAAAGAAAAATGAAGAATTATTTCATAAAATAAATAAGAAATCTTGCAGATCACAAAATGAAATCATGAAACATTTTAAAAAAAATTATATATTTTTTTAAAATAAATAAATAAAATTAATAAATTAAATAATATAATATTTAAAAAAAAAATCATTGATTTCAATTTAAGAAATCAATGAATGCTGTTAAGGCAATACATCATACAAATACATTTCTAAGTATCATGCAAAAGAAAAATGGTTTTAATGCAAGAATTAGTTCAGAAAATAAATTAGAAATCTTGCAGATCACAAAATGAAATGATGAAACATTTAAAAAAAAAATAATTTTTTTTTAAAAATAAATAAATAAAATGTAATAAATTAAATAATATAATATTTAAAAAAAATAAATCACAAGATGAAAAGAGTAAAAAAATTAAAATATTAAGCCCACTTGCCGTGCCATTGCTATTACACAATGCCGTGACCCGGATTCGAACCGGGGTTGCTGCGGCCACAACGCAGAGTACTAACCACTATACGATCACGGCGAGCTACTCGGGCTCCGAACGTGGGGAGCTGCACTAGGTCTTATGACTGATAGGGGCGAATGACGTCATCTGTCTATTCCTTCTTCTATGAGCTAAGAATTCCAAATGTGACTACAGTATATCCATGATATGCTCTATACATGTATAAAGGCACACAATAAAAAAAATATATAGTTGTTTGGTAAATTATATTTATATTTAATTATATATACAAGTTATACAAAATGGATTTTATAAATTAGATATCTATATATAGATAAATATACTGCATTATAATAAAATTATTCCATTGTATTCTGTAAATGTTATTGTTCCAATTAAGAGATTTTATACTTAATTAGGAAGAATTTAGAAAACAAGCAGCCTGCAACTTTGTAAAGTCATAAAAAAACCTGCTTAGTGATGGATTAGTCAAAGTGAAATGATAAATAAATATATTAAGGGTGATAAAACAATAAAAACTGAGATTAGGGTAATAAACAATAAAATTAATAATAAAATGATTCTGGAGCCCACTTGCCGTGCCATTGCTATTACACAATGCCGTGACCCGGATTCGAACCGGGGTTGCTGCGGCCACAACGCAGAGTACTAACCACTATACGATCACGGCGAGCTACTCGGGCCCTGAAAGTAACAGGCACTTCTAGTGTTCTGGACTGTAACAGGGTGGTGACGTCACTGACAGGGTTGCTGCGCGCGCACACTCCCAGTTGTCAGAATAACTCACATAGCGGATTATAGAGTTCATCGCGGAAGGATATCACACAGTTAGATGTGGTTTTTTTTTTTATCACTGGCGGAGGGGAGCGGCTCTTTGTGTTTAGGGATTGGCTGCCTGCCGGACTCATTGTGAAATAGAAACCGTTGATGGGGATTGTTAGTGTGCTCCTGGCATACAATGTATGGCCAACACCATGGCCATTGCTCTAGTCACCCTGAGCCTGGCCAGTATCAGCACTGTCTGAGCCATGTTACTCTCACACCCTGAGCCTGGCCAGTATCAGCACTGTCTGAGACATGTTACTCTCCCACACTGAGTCTGGCCAGTATCAGCTCTGTCTGAGCCATGTCACTCTCACACCCTGAGCCTGGCCAGTATCAGCACTGTCTGAGACATGTTACTCTCCTACACTGAGTCTGGCCAGTATCAGCACTGTCTGAGCCATGTCACTCTCACACACTGAGCATGGCCAGTATCAGCACTGTCTGAGCCGTGTTACTCTCACACACTGAGCATGGCCAGTATCAGCACTGTCTGAGCCATGTTACTCTCACACACTGAGCATGGCCAGTATCAGCACTGTCTGAGCCATGTTACTCTCCCACACTGAGTCTGGCCAGTATCAGCACTGTCTGAGCCATGTCACTCTCACACACTGAGCATGGTCAGTATCAGCACTGTCTGAGCCATGTCACTCTCCCACACTGAGTCTGGCCAGTATCAGCACTGTCTGAGCCATGTTACTCTCCCACACTGAGTCTGGCCAGTATCAGCACTGTCTGAGCCATGTCACTCTCCCACACTGAGTCTGGCCAGTATCAGCACTGTCTGAGCCATGTTACTCTCCCACACTGAGTCTGGCCAGTATCAGCACTGAGCCACGTTACTCTCCCACACTGAGTCTGGCCAGTATCAGCACTGCCTGATCCATGTTACTCTCACACACTGAGCATGGCCAGTATCAGCACTGTCTGAGCCATGTTACTCTCACACACTGAGTCTGGCCAGTATCAGCACTGCCTGATCCATGTTACTCTCACACACTGAGCCTGGCCAGTATCAGCACTGTCTGAGCCATGTTACTCTCTGAGTCTGGCCAGTATCAGCACTGTCTGAGCCATGTTACTCTCACACACTGAGTCTGGCCAGTATCAGCACTGTCTGAGCCATGTTACTCTCTGAGTCTGGCCAGTATCAGCACTGTCTGAGCCATGTTACTCTCACACACTGAGTCTGGCCAGTATCAGCACTGTCTGAGCCGTGTTACTCTCCCACA